CAATACAAACACTAAAACGTTTTTTAGACGTTTAGGTAGCTCCCAGTAGAAAAATATCAATTCAACAGCGGCCTTTTAAAGCATTCTCACTTCAATTAATTAATTAATTCCTAATTGAGTTTAAATTAAATATTGTCATGTTTTTAGTGCATGAATCTGAATTGAACAACCTGATAATGCTCACTCTGGTTATTGTTATCTGGTTGCTCACTACATGCTCTTGGGCGCCGAATCCAATCAATTAAAAATGAAAACTGTTGCCAGCGCGAGAAAAGAAATATCATCGGTTTTATTGATACATACATACATACGTACGTACGTATTAGCGTTTTATATAATATAGATGCTGAAAAAGCCGACATTTATAAATCTAGAAACATTTAACTAATAGGACAGACTGAAATACAAGATATTTAAAGGACTCTCTCCGGTATAATTTTGTTATTTAAAAATTAAAATATGCATCAAGATGTATTTACATTTTTTACTCGTATTAAATTAGGACTTACAAGTAGCTACCAGTTGCATGAAACATGAAGTATTTACTTTATTTTGGACTGATCATTGCAGCTCTACTAAGCGATATTGCTGGTAAACAACAAGAGTAAGTTTCTTTTCTCTTAATTTATACTATAAGTTTTCTAGATAAAATTAGTAGTTATGCATGTAAGAAGAGAAAAAGTTAATAGAAACAATTTCCGTACATACATACCGAGTCTAGTTCTTGAATAAGCAAACGGAGTGGCACCAAAGATTTCTAAATGCTATCATTTTCAACGATTCACTTTAGTGAATTACTTGGAAGTACCGTAAAAATTAATAATGCATTGAGAGCTTTGAAACCACGAGGAGGTAGATAAGATTGTCGCCAAGTTCACCAAAATGGTTGCCAAAAGAAGAGACGGTCCCAAAATCAATGAGTGTGCTTTTCCGTTGGGTGGAAGATATGCTGTTAAGATACGTGGTAGTTAAGATAAAAAAAACGCGGATTTTATGGTAAATGCTTCAGGGTAACAAAATTAATTTTTCGAATTATTAATTTTAGAAAAAATATACAAGATATACACTTTTTTTTCTAAACGACAGTCTTCAAGACAAGCTGTGACATCGATGGTTTTCGATAATTTTTTAATATCCTAAGACTGATAGTTCCTGTATTCAACCTTAAATGTCATGAAAATTCTTACTATTCTCATATGTAATGGTAAAAACTATAAATTATTTCCCTAAATTTGCCATTTTGGCTTATTAATTGCTGTAATGAACCATAAGAAATATTGTGAGCAACATTTACCTTTGTAAATATCAGCGCACCGAGATCAGTGTGGCAGAACAAAGGCCTTACCTTAACCTAAAATTGTGGTAAAAATATTAAAACAAATTTAATTGTAAATAATATATTAATATGAATTTCTTCTTTACAAGCATATGTTAAACTTTACTATCATGCATTATTGCTTTTTATTTCAATTACAATACAATGCATGAATAATAAAGCAAAATATATCAAGAAAATGTAAAAATTTATGCGGGTACAGTATTTTTAATTTGTTATATTATATTTTATGTGATTATATTATATTTGCAGTATTTGTTATATTATTTACATTATGGTTTAATTATATTTTTATGTGGTTATATTATTTTCAACTTGCTTGAACTTTGTCTTGCACATAATACTATTTCATACTTTCACTTTATCGCCATTACCTTTCGAAGTAAAATATATGAAAACAATGAGCACTACTTTCTTAAATAACTTGTTTTTATCTTTTGACAAATTTAACATCATTTATAGCTTGGATATATGAAAGAGAGTTTCTTTTCCTAGTATAAGTTGTTATAGTTTTTAATGATATTCAGTTTAAATTTAAAATTACAGAAATATTTTAGTTTATTTATAAGCAAGCGAATGTTGCATAGTTTCTCATTTTCAAGTCTCAAATAATTTTACAATTAACAGCTCTGTTGGCCGATCAGTTTCTATGATTTCTGTTTTCATACTGCACATGCTTTGGAATCTTGCATAAATCTTAACTTTTTCCTTCAACATATCTTTACTTCACAAATTAGAGTTGCAAGTTGCTCCCAATTATATTAATTTTTAAAATATATTAATTAGTATTTCAAACCTAACGAATTTCGTAAATATATATCTAGTAGGCTAATTGAAAATACGACTTTTTGCACACTGCTGACGTCACTTTGCAATGTGCTTAAAAGTTTCATTTCAGTGCATTTAACAAATGACACTGGCAGATTACAAAGTGTGGAATTTTCCAATTAGCCTATAATGTAAGCATTTCAATTTCTAAAATTTGAAAAATGCTGACTTCATCAGTTCCTTTATGGTGATGATAATCGAATAGTATTTAAAGAAACTCATGAAAAAAAATTTTAAACTGTTATTTTTATTCTGCTTTATGAAAACCCTAATTGTGTGATGAATTCTCGCAAGGAAATCAAGAATTAAATTTCTATTTTATAATTTTACTTATAACAAGCAAAAAGTGCATAATGAAAAATAAAGCAAATAAAATAGTTATTTGCTTCGGAAATTTTGTAAACTCAAAATGTGCAAAGCATCTTAATTATTTTTAGTTTTAAAGTCCTTACAGAGACTGTCACACCATATTTTATTCAAACGTATGCATCAGCAACTGATATAATTATATAAATTTTTTATTGCTGAACTTTCTCATCTTAGCAAACTCGAATCGTGCAATTTTATCCATGAACTAGAATGTCAATGTCTATGCATGCAAAGATGGCACTACACATTTTCTTCTAAGCAGCTGATCTTGCACTACTTTGCTAACTTAAATTGCACGAAACTTCTCACCTATCATTAATTTCGATACTCTTGCATGAAACAAAACCACGGCACAACTTCCTCAAAACTGTTTATCTACAGTTAAAAGTTTCAGCAAAGCTTAACCTTATTTTAATCATGCAGCATTTCTACAAATTGCGTAGATGATGATAATGATAATGGTAACATTCAGGATGGCAGTAACAACAATCCTAGGTAAAAATCTTGAAATTTTTTTTATTTAAAAGTTAAGAATTAAAAAGTAGTTTGTGAACATTATTTACTTATTAATTTGTTGATTAAATAAATTAGTTTTAATATAAACATTAAATATTATTAATATTTACGGTAAACAATACGCGAAATGTTGTGACAATGCGCAAGATTATATGTACTCGATAAATATATAATTTCGTGCACTTTTACACGACTTAATACTTGATTTAGCTTTTGTCTAGTGACAATTCTGCCTTATAAATGAAGCGTTATAGTTTGGAATCAGTAAGAAATAATTTTCTCGCCTCAGAGGTACCAAGACTACATTCGATTAGTTCAAATAGAATAGAACATGAATTACAGATAATTCAGAAGACACACTCGATTTTACGAAATAAATAAATAAATGAATGGTACAAAAATCCTCCAAAAGATGGCATTGTAATAGTTATTACATTTTATTAATGCTTCATAAATATGAAGAAATATTTTTCTCGCAACCGAACTGAACTGAACTGACGGAGGAGAGATATTCTGAAATATACTTTTAATCATTTATTTAAGTTTTACATATAAATTGATGATGAATATTTATTTTACTGTGCAGCGTCTTTTGTAAGATAAAAATTACAAGATCTCCATCCCATCAGAATTCGAGACATATAATGCGCGATATTTTAAATTCTCGATTCATTTTTTTCCCTAGCAAAATTATGCGCATACAATTAGTATTTCTAAAAGTTAGTTTAGTAGCATGACTTTAGATTTTTGATAAGTACTATTGTTGTTGCATCATTTACATAAAGAGAAGCATCTTTCAAATCAGTTTTCATTCGTTCAAAAATGATAAAATTCAATTTTAAAAATTCTAAAAGCAAACGAATGCAAAGAATTAAATAACTCAATCCGAACTATTAGCTGCATAATTTTATTGCTTTTTTTATTTTTGAGCAGGGATCAATAGAAGTTCAAAAGGAAATCTCTTCTTAACAGTGGTTTTTAAAGATTTTTCGTTAAAGAAAATAAAAAAAGTCAGAATTTAAGTGTCTTGCACTATAGGCAAAGCTATAACTATAAATTACCTATACTATATTGCCACCAGAATGGTCCTTAGAACGAGAAAATAGATTCAATAGTTTAAAAGTTATGAAACTTTTTTAATGTACGCTAATTTGGCTACATTTTCAATCCTAGATTAAGATTATCAAAATCATTGCCTTAATCTTATTTTTTGCGTATTTTTTTGAATCCAGTATTGTAGTAAGATTTTACATTTTCAAAAAATTATATCCCAAACGCTTTTCATTTTCCCAAAATTATGACTTTTCTCCATATTAACGTTTTGCACCATTTTTAGAATAAATATAGGGGGTGCTAATTATCGATAGACTAAGCCTAACCTAACAGTCATGACTGGTGTGAACTCACAACAGTTATGAAAATAGCACATTATTAATAAAACACGTGATTACGTGTGATGTTAGAGCCTTCAAAAAACAGCCTGAAGTTGTTTTTGTGGCGTATACTCCAAAATGCCTGACGAAGTCAGATAAGAATCATCAAATCGTTGATCCTAAGAAAATCGAGAACCAAGAGGGGGGGGATGAGTATATGTCCTCTCTGGAAAGTCCCAAACAGTCCAGGATGTGTTCGGGACTGCTTGGGACAGCCTCAAGTAAAATAATTTAATAAGTAAATAGCTTATGTTATTCAGCTAAGATTACTAAATACCTCAAATGCATTGAAGAATTATCTATTAAACAAGTAATTATTGTATATTATGCACGGAAAAAATATTTTAGTTCAGGTAAAAGAATATTTCATGTTTACATTTTGTTTCAATTCATATAAGCAGTGGAAGCATATTCTTTCTCACAAGCCTATTTTAATTTCTATAAACAGTGGATACATATTCACAAGCCCCAGATCCTTAAAAAATGGCGGGAATAATGAATTAAACCTCAGACGATTTGGAAACTTAGACGGAGGTAATCTTCAAGTTCAAGTCTTCTACAGGAACGATTACAACTCAGAGAATGAAACAGTTGCTGCCTCCGAAGATTTTGAAATTCCAGAAGGTTATAAACGATTATTGAAAAACAAAATAATTATTAAAATATAAATTTAAAATAAATTATGCAATAATTGTTTTTTTTTACAGGAGAAGAGGAATCGATACTGAATCTTTATCTGAAAATATCCGATGATAATTATTTTAATGGCCGAATTCAAATAAATGGCAGTTTCGGTGATTATGAAATATCGGGAAGTGACAGCGTTTCATTCTCGAAAGGAAAGAAAAGCATAATTATTATCCAGACTGATAAACCTTTATACAAGCCTGGAGAAACAGGTAAGAAATAAGGTTTTAAATGTGATGCCATTATAGGCACTTCATATTTCCTAGCTCTAGAAATTTCCTCACTTTCATAAACTTAATTTTTTAATCATTCTTAATTCTGTAATAATTAAGTCAATTATTTAATTTTTAAACATTCTTGGTCCTGTAATAATTAAGTCAAGTATTTAATTTTTTAATCATTCTTAATCATGTAATAATTAAGTCAATTATTTAATTTTTTAATCCTTCTTAATCCTGTAATAATTAAGTCAAGTATTAATTTTTTAACATTCCTAATCTTGTTATAATTTAATTAAATCAATTATTAAATTTTTGTCACATTTTATTAAAAGTAAATTTAAATAATATTATTCTTTTCTTAACAATCTATGTAGCGGCTAACTTCAATTTAAATGTTTTATACATTAATTCACTGTGGCGACAAATCGAATATCAAATTCTATTTTTAACTTTATTTTTCTTTAAGCTGCTTTGTTTCTCTTAACCACTAAGATGGTTTGGTTACAGGGTTATATTAAATTCTCACGGTCTTTTTGGTAATTAAATTGTTCGCCAAATTTTGAATCGCCTCACATGCCTCTAAGCGTCTGTTAACAAAAATGCATGCTCTAGAAATTTGAACTTCTTGGTGTTAGGACTTGAGAGTTTTTTTATATTGGATGTGGCAATTTTTGGATCAATTCAAGGATTTTTGGCTCCGATAATTGAAAGTGCTACAAAATTGTCATAAAAATGAATACTTAAGGAAAACTACCTTCGTCTCTGAAATAGGGATGGTCGAATTTTTTAATTTGTTAACAGAATATAGTTTTGAAACATGAATGCAATGTTTGCTAATTTTGGAAATGCTATCTAATAAACAGGATGGTTTTTTGTCCAATTTCCTTTATTTTAGTCCTTTCCTTTATTCCTTTTCCTTTTTCCTTTATTTTCCTTTATTTTCCTTTTTAAATTTGCACTGCAAATATCACCGCATCAAAATAAACATTTTCTCTGCGAATTAAATATAGCTGTACTTGCTAAATTATGAAATATTTACCCCGACCTGCCCCAATTTAGGGCATACGGGTAATACTTGCTAAATTATGTAACGTGTATCGAAAGTTATGTTCTACTATTTAGATCCAATATTATAAATCGTAAGTGCTCAAATGATATAATGTAATAAATAGGTACTTTTTTATTTAAGACACTAACACAATTTTTTTTTAATTTTAGTAAAATTCAGAGTACTAAAAGTGAACAAGTTTTTAAAGCCTACCGAGAAAAACAATGTAAGTATTGTATAATTTATTATTTTCATTTTTAAAATAATGATTGAAAAGCTTGGACAGTCAAAATACCATTTATCCTGCAAGTGGTATTTTTACTTCTAACTGGTTATTAGCATGGTTTTCAGATGCATACTATTCAAATTTAAAGCATTTTAATAGAATAGAAGGCAATTTTCAATGTATATGTGAAGGTTTCGGTTTTTAAACAGAAATGCTCACCTAAAAATTCGAAGATGTGGCTTATCCTAATATTGCACCTAGCAATTCAATTGTGCTGTTTCCCTTGAATACCATTTGATAAAAAATCACAAAATTAAATTATTTATTTTTATAGTCTTTGCAAAGTGGCATCAAGAATTATTTTTTTGTCCTTGAAGGGAAAATTTGACAGGGATTAAATTTTTCCCCCAAAATTTCTGGTTTAGTTCTAATTTTTTTAACTAATGGGTTTTACAGATAGTTAATTTATCAATTTAAAAAATAATAATTTAAAATCACAAACGTAAAAGATTCAAAATACTTTAAATGAAAGAAAATCACTTAATAAAATTTTCAAATTGTTCACCAACTGCCGTAAACCAAGCAATCGAGCTAAAGAATAGCGACACTGAGACACTCAAACCCACTCTCATAAGCATTCAAAATATGTTTAAAATAAGCATTCAAAATATGTATATGCATTAAAAATGCAATGGAACGATATTTGCTGCGCCATTTTTCGGATGAATTTCGCACTAGACCCAGAAATTTTGGGCAAAAAAATATGGACAATCTCATGTTTTTGCTGAAAAAAGTATTTGTTATCTTTTATTCCAAAACGTTTTTGAAAACCAGCAGGATAATTAGGAAACCCAATATTTACCTCAAACAAAAATTTTATCGTCAGATCTACCAGAACAGCGAGCTGTAAAGATCCATCATCTTTCTAGTATTTTTTCACTAGTTGCTACTTTCATTATCCAATCTATTATGATACCATGAAGAAGCATCTGTGAATAATATTTCTCATAAATGTCAGTATTATCAGCGATGTATTATTGATTAATATTATGAAAATAAAACGGCAGTTGAAATTTTTTCCGGAATCAAAACTGCTACTAGTATCAGAATTTTATCTGTGTATGTTTCAGTTTAATTGATCACAAAAATCAAACAACTTTTTCAATTATTATTTTTTTCTCCAGTATTACTCTTAATTTCAAATTCGCTTTTACATTTGCTATTCAAAACAAGAAAAGAACTATAATTGAATTCATACGATTACTTAATTTGTATAATTATTCCATACGCCTTTTAAGCTTATTATTATTTATTAAAATTATCATTATGTAGTATTATTTTATAATAATGGAAATATTTATAACAGAGTGCTGAGGTGTATGTCGAAGATGCCAAAGGAACCCGTCTGTTTCAATTTGAAAACTTAGATCTGCAAAAAGGTAAACACTTAAAATTTTAGAATGGGTCAAAATTCAAAATATTTTTATGAATGTTTCATTTTTTTCCTGAAAAAGAAAAAAAAAGTGTTTTTATTGCTTTGAAAACTAAATTTCTGGTTTTTCTAATTTATTTATTTTGTGAAGTTTAAATTAAGGGAGCATTTCGCTTTGTCTGTCATTTTGCAGGAATTTTCGAACAAAGAGTTGATTTAACCATTCATCATTAAACACTGCATGGCCTAAACAAGGTGCTTCTTTAAGGGCAAATTTTTCATTTATCACGAGAGGTTTTTTCAGCTATAGTACCCTATCTACACGCAGCTCAAATGTCACGAGTAGCTCTTACGTCCGTAACACTTAACCCTAAGATTTAAAGCAAAAAGAAGAAAGTGTCAAAAAGATTCATTTTGCTTGACTTGACATTCAATTTTAATAATCTGAAAATTAACATAAAGTAACTCAAACACAAAAGCGATACATGGATTCCGGTACAACAAAACTTTTTTTGAATGATCAAAAATTTGTCAAAAACATTTAATGATATAGTGAAATGCTAAACTTGAAAGAAAAATACGACAGAAACTTAGTAACCAACCGAATATTAACATAAATTAAAATAGAATAGGAAGGAAAATTGGGTTATTTTGGCTACCTAATAGAAAATAGAAGTCAATAAAAAGGTGGATTTAAGTAATCATTTATTTCGCCAATGTTCCTGAAGTAGAAAAGCTTATTCAACTATTAAATAAATTTATAACTTATAATGTACTAAGTGTGGGAAATTCTTTAGGCAAAATAAAATTTAAAAAAATTTGAAAAAAGATTGATATCATAAGTTAGATGCATTTTCACCTCCTTAGGACTTGTTCAAAGAGATTTTCCTTTGTCTGATGAGCCTGTTTTGGGAAGATGGTCAATTAAAGTTAAAAATGGAGACTCAGAAGAATCAACGAATTTTGAAGTAAAAGAATATGGTGAGTTACAATACACATATTTTTGAAAAATGTAGAGTCTTTTTTTGATTTGCCCATTGTGTTATTTAGCCCCAATACTGACTGGCAATCGTGAGTCGAGTTCTCAGTCTGGTTGTTAACTGAGACTCATCTTGTGATTGCTAGTGAGTACTTTATAAACAGCGTTGAAAGAATGTTTGCATCCACTTTATTTACACCATATAGGTAGAAGTTGAAAAAAAATTAATACAAATTATGTTTTTAATGTATTTATGAAATATGTGATTCGCACTATAAAAACAAAATAAGTTAATGTCTTATCAATTTTAAAAAAGTAATATATCTGTTTCATGTATCATGTTTTACATTAAAAAAATTCAAGCAGTTGTTTTTTATTGGAATGAATCAAGGAGTTTAAATAAAGACAATAGGGTTTTAAGAAACTGATAAACATATAATTGAAATAGATCAAGCTAATATAACATAAAACCGAAAAATCTTCCATGCAGATGTTAGTGTTAATACACTTTTTGAAGTTTTTTGTTTTCTTAAAATATAATAATGGAAGATGTAAATGTGATGGCTCAATAGTTAAAGGCACTAAGCTGTTAATGTGAAGAACTGAGCTTCGATCTTCAGTGGTGGCTTGAAACCTAATGCTATGTATACTAGTTTGTCTGAGAAGTTAAAGCGGCTTTTTGTGCAAGTCTGACCTCTCTGCCAAATTTTACCGTCTTTAATGAAATTGCGAAACTTTAATATGCATGACGCCTTTGGCCCACAACGGACTGTTTCCCGAATGCTTTACTTTGAAAGATAATAATCTGCTTGTTTTTGAATGAAATTCAAAATTAGTAACTATCACGGCCAAATATACATGTTAGTAATTACTAAGTGTAAAATATGAATATTTAAACACCATATGAAATAAGCAATTCATTCAAATAGTATCTGAATATTCATTTAATCAAATTCTAAGCTAGGAAATAAACCATTTGAATGATCTGTTTGCTTCAAATGGTTTCTGAATATTCATCTTTACCAGTTAGTAATTACAAATATGAATTTTCAGATACCATTTGAATGAATTGTTTACTTAAAATATATTAACTTTTACTTTTATTTTCATGAAATTGAACTAATATTATTTTTAACTTATTTTCTGCTTCAGTTCTACCAAAATTTGAAGTAAAAATCAAATTTCCCTCATTCGTACTGGCAAATGCAGAAATAATTCCGGTTGAGATTTGTGCGAAGTAAGTAAAATGATTAATATGAAATCTGAACTATTTTTGACGTAGTTGCGCAATCTTCGCTTTTTTGAATTTCCAATTTATTGTCATGCTTAATATTACGCAGCATATTTTTACTTGTAAATATATATATATACTACAAAATCAATTTTATTAATTTAGATGTTTACATCTAAAAAAACATCTTTTCATATTTTATTTATTTAAAGACTGTTGAGCAGTTTTAACCAATGATGTATTTAAAGGCTTTTCCCACTGCCATTTGCTTAAAGGTTGTTGTTACTTTTAAATACATAAATAGTATCAAAAGCCTCAAAAGCATCTTCCAGAGTAATTAGTAAATGTGGCTTCATAATACAGTGTCCCAATCATAAGTTTTTCATGTTGTTGTTTCTAATGACACTTGAATAAACCTAGCTCGTCAGCCATTGGCCTTATGACTTAAGTCAGGAAGCCTATCATTTGACAAGAGAGCACCGCTAGGGTGAAAGTGCGACTTAGTTCAGAATCCCTTGGAGAGATGGCAGCATCACTGATTTATGAAAATACTTTCACAGTTTAAACATAGATCTGGAGGGAAAATAAATTTTCTCAACATCCCTGCACCAAGTGCTCAGGGTACTGCTCAGTGACCGACCTCAGGACTTTCGATTCCACAGTTTTTACGAGCACGAATGTCACATGTCTTAGCGGCTTTTTAGACCGAACCCGCCTACCCCGGACTGAAGTCCGATGTTCTAACCATTAAGAATTCAAATCTGTGACTGTGAAATCCTGCCTCTCATTCTAAAAACAAGGAAGCTTTTAATAAACAAGTAATAACAGCAATAATAAAAAGCGTGCTTCTTCGAAAAAATTTATAAACAATGTGCTTTTTTTTTGTTTGTTTTTTTTTTTTTTTTTNTATTATTTTTTTTTTTTTTTTTTTTGGCAAAAATCGTGTTATGTCTTAAAAACTCCCTAACTTTTCTCTGTACGCTTCCCTCTTTTGTGAAGAAAAATAAGGGAGATGTGAGTTCCTTTCTGGCAGGCAAGTAAATCATTATTCCCGATAGATTTTTGACACTGAATTGAATTGAACGCTGGATTCAACTGAACTGATTGACACTGAATTGACAGAAATAAATTTTTAAACAATCAGACTAATATTTAGGAGTTATAAATGTTTTCTAAACTAAAGCATAATTTCGTAATTGCACATATTTACGCATTTGAAATTACTGTCTTAACAATTGAGGCATTGTTTCCAATATTTTTTTTTACCTTGAATTAAATTAAATAATACAATCAAAGGAATAGATTGATTGTGTTTCTTTCAACAATTTACTATGTTTATAAGTTGCAAAACCTTTCAGGTTGGAGTGTAATTTGCCAGGTGTTCTGTTTTCACTGCTTTTAACATAAAATTATTTTTTCCTTTTTTAAGGAAAAAAATATATGTATAGTGTCTTTCTTTAAGTTTTTTATCGCTTGAATAATACTTAGGATCATCCTTTAAGCGAAGAATAAAATACTATCAAGGTTTGAAGATTGCTTATTAAAGTCTAACAGGTGAAGGAAAAGTTTAAAAAAAAAATTTTTTCCAATGCCCACCTGTGTTAACATCCGTCAATTCAGGCATATATAGGGCGATTTTGTTGGCCTCTCTTTCAGGGGCATCATATTATGTGGGCCAACACTCCCACAGTGAGGACACATAGTACAGAGAAGGAAAGAACATCCATGACTTGCCCGGGATTCGAACCCAGAAAACCTTTCTGATGCAAAGACAGTTCCCAGTTTAAAAACACTAAGTACCCGACATTGATGATATTAAAGTTCGTACAAGAGAAATTTTAAAAGCAATTTCAAACGAAAGGCGAACGCCCTTTAACCGAGACAAAAAGCGTGTTTTTATCATTTTAAACCTTCTTTCATTTAAGTTTCACGTCGATAATGATTCGTCAGACATCGACAACCTCGTTATTTATTCTAAATTTAGCTTCTCGACCTCTGTTATTAAGCTTTTTATTTAATTTCCTTACAAAGCTTTCAAAAATATATGTTGAGGACAAAGTCTGCGGAACACTCTGTTTACATTTACAATAGAAAATTTTTGTAACCTCATTGTAGATTACTGCATGTTCCGTTACGTATATTTTTCACAAGCTCTGTAGAATATCGAGATCTTTTCGTGGTAGCTGCACTGTGCAATATATACGTGAGCATTCGTGATACACGTGAAAGTACACAATATTATTCTATAATGCAATGTTTGATATCTTTATTCCTGCAGTTATACTTACGGGAAACCAGTTAAAGGAGTACTGAACCTAAATGCATCTTTCGAACGATACTATTATGAGAGAGATAACAAAGAGAATAAATATCCCATTTTGATGGAGACAGTTAATGTAAGTATTATTATAAAAGAAAAAGTAATATTTGGTTTCAAAACCATATAAGAACAATTATTTTTGACTTATTTTGCATATTAGGTATTTATTTATTTCAGAGAATAAGTAGTTTTACGAAGCAAGCTGCACATTTACTGCGTATGCTTTAAACAGCACGTATAATGAATGCAAAATGAATGTAAATAATTACTAAAAGCAGAACTTATTTCTTAACTCTACTTTGAATATTAAAAAAGCCTGAAAAAAATGAATAATAATAATTCTAGTGTTGCCGATAGATGGAGGAATATATATATATAATATAACTGTTTATTTAGGATATAAAAACATTAATGACTTAATGACTTAATAAAAATTCCAGGTAAAACTATTACAATTGAAAAAACCTTTTTTTTTTTTTTTTCTTTTTTTTGCAAAACATATTTTTATTTAACTATATTTATATACGTAATAGATACTTTAAATATTCAAATTTAATTTTAAAATAAAATAAAAATATGCCTCTGTTTTTAAAGGTCTGTTAGAAAAAAATAGCTTGTTCATGACTACGAGAAAATGTTCGTTTTGTTTCATTTTTGTATATTACAGTTCAGAACCAATCAGAGAATGTTATCCTTATGCATTCCTCTAATTACATCAGAAGTAACATTGCCATTTTTTTAAAAAAACATTATTGAATTTTGGTACAATACCTTTCGAATCAAGGTTACCATAAGTAGAATATGTACGTAATTGGAGAACCCTCATGGCCAAGTCCAATTCTGGTAAACGGTAGAAATCTTCTTGAAGCCTGCAAGAAATAATGACATCTATTATTTCCTCACCTGAAATCAAATCAAGTGTATTATTGCAAAATCTGTCATTTCCTATATAGTTGATTCTGCACAAAACCTCCTAGAAAAGAGAAGACCTCAGCACGGTTAACCGTAAACAAGAAATTTGATCCTTTAGTAGTCCAAACGTAGTGACATCTTTCTTATTTACATCCATTGCGCAGTTCATGTTCGTTACGTCGGACTACTAAATTGACCCGTGCTGAGGCCTTCTTTCTTCTAGGAGGTGTTGGTATGATACAGAGCAATCTCGGTTTTACGCAAAGTTTGTGTATAACATACGTATAAGTTTCTATAAGTTTGCATATATGTTTGTATAAGTTTGCATACGTATAAAATACGTACCGTAAACCGGGGCGAGTCTACCCATTTTTTCAGTTTGTCAACTTTCAAGTGGTCAAACTTTTGCAAATATTAAAGAAAAAAGGCTTTTAATAGGTGTTTCGGAATCGCTATTTATCCCTCTTTAGAACTGTGAAATCGATTTTAGAAAATATTAACAGTTACGCTGTTACTGTATATTTTTATAGAACTGCTGACAAATCTCTCGTATGGGGCGAGTCTACCCATTCTACTAAAATGAATGTTAACATTGTAAATAATCAAATTTTACTATTAAATTGTTATTTTAGTTACTATATAGGATATTTATGAAGTAAAATTCATAACTTTATTATATATTCCATTTTTTTATTCATAAAATAACACAAATTGAGTATTTGATCGATTATCACATTTTGATCACAGTTTTGTTTTTATAATCATTAACATTATAAAATAACATTTTTTTCTGATTATTGTTGATAAAAATAAATTAAAATTAATATAAATTTACAATTAAATAATTAATAAATAATAATAATTAAAGATTATTAACAAAATCGAAATTCAAACATTGGGAATCATGAAAAATCCTTTTCCCATTCTTTTGGGAGGTAATAATAATTTATAAATAATAATTTATTTAACTTGCATTAAATAAAAAAAGTTAATTTTGTAATATAAAAATTGAAAAAATAGGTAAAATAAACATATTTTATATTTACATTTATATTTAACCTATAAATTTTCTTATTAATGATAAATTTATCAATGCAGAATTAAAATAATATACTCAAATTCATTTAAAATGACTTAATTTTAATATAAACAAAGTTCTAAATTATATTATTATGCTTTATTAAAACTAAATACGAATGGGTAGACTCGCCCCGCGAATTCTGGCTTTTTGTTTACAACAGCAAAACTTACATTCTTTTTGTTTTTTTTCATATAAAATTAATGTAATCTTAGTCTTAGATAAGTTTATCACTTAACCAAAGTGAAAATAGTAATAATAATAATATACTTACGGAGCACCAACTAAAAGTTTGCTGATTTTCAATACAAATCGCTCAAAAGACGTTTGAACAGGTCGGTTAAAAAGACACCAAATAAATGAAAACGGATCAAACTACTACAGCGCCATCTTCCTTAGAGTCTGAACTAAGTTCTCCGTCGGTAAAAAATTTCTTATTTGCAATTTAAAATAGTGAAAATGAAATAAAACTAAAATGGGTAGACTCGCCCCTGGATGGGTAGACTCGCCCCGGTTTACGGTATACGCAAAGTTTGTGTATAACGAACTCGTGGAATGCTACGTGAAAGTACGAAATCTTTCAATTTTTGTCAGTTGTAGTAACGTGATGGTATTTTTTATGCTTTGATCCTTATTAATTCATATCTCATTTTTTCCCTTGTCCTTGCTTTTTTCTGCTTTTTATTTAAATTATGGTTTTAACTTTAAAAAAAAAGTTTTAAGTTTCTTATCTAACAATTTTTCTTTTTTTTTCTCTCTCTCTTTCTTACGAAATGAAGAGTGACGAGAAAATTGGTTATTTTATTTCCCTTCCATAAAAAAACATTTTTTTGTTGTTTTATTCAATTTGATCTAAAATTCAATTTACAGTTAAAATACAAACTCAAACCAAAGCCATAATAACTTCCATAAAATCCATAAAAACTTTTTTAAAAACCCTAAAAGTTCTTAAAGTAATCGGTTCTTTACAAGCCCTGTAAAAACATTTACCTAAAATTCCAAATTTCTAATTAAAATATTTTTCTATTTCACTGTCAAGTTCACAATAAATGGAATAGGGCTTGAAACCTAAGGGCTCAGCTAGTTAGCTATTGTTTGCTATGACACTCTTGCATATGATACTAACGTAATATGTTCTTAAGATATTCACTATTTTTTAATCATTTCTGATACTATAACGACAGTCCATTTTCATAACATACGAAATAGTTTTTGATATAGCAATTGAATAAATGAAGGAAGGATTGCGATATTTATCTTGAAAATGGTAATCATGACCTACCCTGATAATGTATTATAAAATATCATTATCGGAAAATAAATTCGAAAAATATAGATATTTTACGATACGTTGTCAAAAACAAATGCGAATAATTTCCAGCGTCTAAATCAATTTATGGTACAAAAAGTTGAAAACAACCAAACAATTACGTTTCTTGTAGCCTTCGAATCCGAACTTTTATAAATATTAAGTTTTTAATGACCTGAACAAAACAGTTCTTGAGATATCCTTACATTTTTTATCTTTTACATTTTCTATCTACATTTCATTTTTATCTATTTTATCCTTATACATTTTTATCTATAAATTATTCAGCTCGATGGCTGCTATACATATGATTTGAATGTAACGAAGATTCAAAGTGATCAATCATATTATAACTACAGACGGATCGAGGTTGCGGCTAAAGTTCAAGAAGAAGGAACAGGTAACTATAATAATAATAATAGTTATAATAATAATAATCTTATTAAGTATAAGGTGGAGTAAAAAGCTGAGTGACGGACGGCTTTAAGAGAACTTTTGTTAACATTCATCCATTGGCGATAAAGACCTCTATTTCTTATCCGCAAGCTTACAGTTGGCGGAATCTATAAATCCCTGACATTCATTTGAATTGTTCGCGTCTTAGCGTTCTTAGTCTTGGTGTTTTAATTTTGAGGGAAAATAAAGGTTTTTAAAGCTTACTCGTCGATTAATTTTTGCTAAATGCACTTAAAACCTTCATCCACTGTCAAATACTGTCACTTAGTACCTCTATCTACTGAGATCTGTGAAATTTAAAGACTTGGCACTCTAGTGTAGTTAAATATTAAAAAAATAGATCTCTTTCCAAGAAACCTCAATATTTTCCAAAGTTTCAATTAGAACTTTTTTTAACTCTTTATTAGGTCTTTTTTCTAGTAATGTTACGTCAAAATACTTTTATAGTTTAGATTTATTTATAATTTGAAATTATTAAGCCAATTACCAAAAATTTATTTATTTTTAAGACCTTTCTTTTCTTGGTAGTAAGGAGGGTTATATTTTCAAAATTTTTTCCTATTGTAAAGATTTGGTCATGAACTTAAGATTCTTTGTATACAAATAAGCAGTGAACTGATTATTAAGACACGGTTACCAGTAGAACATCGAATCACTGGCTATGGTCACTTTGCGCGGGGGAGGGGGGTAACCACTTTGATCAGCCTGCAATGGGACCGAGGGTGTGCGGTATCAGTCCTATTGCAGGTCGTTGTGGTACCGAATCAGGGGAACCATCTCGTACCCAAAGGACCAAAATTGTGATGGTATATCTTCGGATCATCCTCAGGGATGTTTCCCAGACCGTTGCCAATAGTTCATTGCGCAGCTCTAGAGCTACGTAAACCAACAACTATAAATGAGCGAATTTATAAATCATGTGTTCATAACTGAACTCAATGGGAAATGATGAAATATACGAATGCTTAATACTCAAGAGCAAAAATATATTCTTGATTCCACGCAATCCTTTAATATTGTCTGTATTTATGTAAACAAAACCCATTATTTGGCCAGTATTTTTTGGGGTTATTTCCCAAAGTTGTCAACAAATGGCAGCACAAATGGTAGATGGTAAAATAGCTTTCCATCGACTCTTAAAATTTAAGTTGCTGGAAAGCATGCTTCCCACATCCTTATAAAGAGTTATACACTTCAAGTGCATTGAGGGTACACCGCATTTTCTTCTACGAAAATCGCTTATGAATTACGTAACTGTTTAGTCGATAATTTTTTTTCTTTAATTATACTTAGTTGAAACATGCTATCATTAATATTATAGTTTAATTGTTTTTAATCCTAACTGATATTACTTTAAAACATCTATTTATGTGCTTATACGAATTCTATTTTCGACCATAATTATAAAGCAACAGAAAATTGAGATAATTTAGATAAATAAAAGTAACAGCTTAAACGCACACGGGAATGCATGAGAACAAGGGTAGCGTCCCTACACCGCCATTGGGTTTCCGCCAATGGGTTCAATTCTCGAATTTTATAACGTGCCCTATCACCTCTCGTAATTTGTAATCGCTGTACCATATACCCCTATATAAAATTTTAAATCAATGTGGTATTACAGGTGTAGAAAAAACTGATACGCAGTACCTATATCGCCAAACGTCACCATTGAGTCTATCTTTCATCGATAGTCTGAACTACTACAAACCTGGCTTGCCATACAATGGAAAAGTACGCAGTTATAAAATTTTTTATATAACATGAGTTAATTGTATGTTGAAATATATGCTACTTGTTTTATTTTTGCAGTTAAAAGTGTCAAATCCGGATAACAGCGTTGCAGCTGAGGAGCCAATAGAGATATGCGTTACAATAAACAAAAAGCGTATTCTTGCGGACTGGTGGGCAACTAAAACAATCAAAGTGTGCAGAAACTACACTTCATCTGAAGAAGGATTGATTTCATACACTATTTTACCACAAAACGTGGATGTCATTTCGATGAACTTGGATGTGAGTACAGAGTAGCATTTATTGTTCAAAGCAGTTTGTTCTGAAAAAACCATCCTTAATGTATGTTTTTAGTTTCCTTGTCAAAAAGATAGGGAAAAAAGCTCAATAGCTGTTGAAAATTTTATGTTTACATAGATTATAAAATAAAAAATATAATTTTCCAAAATTTGACTCATCATGACAGACGAGATTAAAAATATCAGAACTTGTTTTAGAAATTGGAGTGGAGATCAGAAGAAAATTTTCAGAAACACCATCGAATACCATGAGGCTACTAAACTGGTTTTGTAAGTTTTAATCACGCATCTCTTAACAGTGATTCTCCAGATTTTTAAGACATTATTTTCCTTGTGTTTTTCTTTAATTGCAGATTGTTTAACAGCCCTCAACGTGTTTACTTTTTTCAGATGTGTGTGTATATATATTAGTCTGAAGTAGTTAATGGCTACCTCCGATATCTTCGCCATTGCTAATTATTGACGAGAATTAATTAAAAATTATATTGATTGTTTGATTGCTTTCTAGCAATGCAATGAAATAATCTTTTACACATTAAAAATTCTGAATAGTTGACAGAATTTTTAAAAATCTTGCTGTTGCACCACCCATTTAATTCTGCTAATTCACTAACTCTAATTATCAATTAAATTCAGATTTAATGCACTTTTTATCTAACTGAAGATACACTTTTTTTACGTAAATCTGTTTTTTAACTTTTCTATTTCTTTCCTATGTTTATTTCTATTTAATTATTTTTTAAAAGTAACAGAATTTTTTCAGTTGTTATTACTCAAGAATGTTTCAACAGCTTTTCTTTAAAAAAAAATTTTATTTATGAAACAATTATATAAGTTTTTTTTAAAACCAAAATTCAGCAAATCTGATGTAACATTTAACCTGGAGTTTAATATTTTTAGTCTATCCCATTAACTATAGCCTTATTAGCCTATATATGGTGTTAAATATTTTCCTTTAATTGTGAGAAATTAAATTAAATAAATTGATGCATTGAATTAAGTGACTTTTTTCTGGGGAAAAATGAATTGAATGGGAAAAGAGACCAGAACGGAAAATCAATGAAATGAAAATTCAGAAACCAAGATTTTTTGAAAATTTTTTTTTTTTTTGACCTAACCAAAAGTAAAATTAAAAATTTTCTTCACTTCAAAATAAACAAACAAACAATTCACGTATGCTAGAGTAAAATATATATTTCGAGTTCTAACGGGAATTAATTTTACAAATCCACTTTTTTCGAAGATCACTTAACTTATTTTTTAGCTCCTTTTTTTAATTATATATTTTTTTAATTTTTTAGGCAAAATCCTTGAAATATGCTCCTGACGACACTGGTGGACCAAATGTTCTAAGCCAACCCCAAACAAGCAGTTATTTGAGCCCGTTCTTTTCACCCTCTAGTAGCTTCATTCAAATTCAGCCAATTCATCAACCAGTTGAATGTGGCTCAAAACAAACTTTAAAATTATTATTCACAGCTAAAGAAGACGCGGACTTCAAGTTTTATTACCAGGTACATTCAGGGTTTCCAAACTTTTATACAATATCCGGGAAAATTTCTTCTAAGTTCATGTTTAAGTGCTCCACTCATCTCCAGGGGGTATTCGAAGGAAAAATCTCACCGGAGGATGGAGCTCTCCCTCCCACGTGAGTAGCTCAGGTCTAACAGCTACCCAAGCAAGCGACCCGGCTATGCAACTACCTAAGGCTTTATCAAAATCAAACAAACTATACATTCAGGGCAATAGGCACACTCCCAATTATGCAATCAAATTCCTTATTACATCAATATAATGTTCTTTAACGAGTGTATTTTTCGTTTCTTTAAAATATATGTTTGGAAACATAAATATAATCCAATAAAACTAAACGATGCAAAAGGACAATTTAAAAATCAGACTAATCATTGGTCACAACACAGGTAATGCCTTATAGTGGGCAGTTAAGCGCAGTCTCTAAACTTAAATGTTTCATAATGGACGTATTTATATAGTGATGAGACCCAGCATATCCTTTTGTTTTAAAATGGACAGAAGAAACTCTAAAATCAAGTCAAAAATCAGGAGTAAGTCAGCGAAAATTAACCACTGGTGATTAAAAATAAAATTTTACCAAACAATTAAAATCAAAGAACTGAGAGTTAAAATATCTTAGTAAAATCGACAGTCTAAAAGCCAAAATTTAATACCAAAACTCGAAATTACCAAGTAAAATCTTTTAGTTAAAATAACAAGAATGATAGTCAAATAGTAAAAGTAAAAACAAGAACACAGAAAATTATTGGCTTTGTCTGGCTCAAGTTAGTATCCTGTGAGTATAGAGCCTAAGAGGTCGTCGGGCCCAAACAGATCTTCTAAGCTTGTTTTAGTAGTAGTTTTAATGATTTAGCTAAACAATCTACGAGACAACCGAAAAATTATGTATACCCACTACCAGTTTCATATCTTAAACGACGTATTAAAGATTCTCTTCTAACAAAATGGCAATTTCAATGGAATAATTCAGACAGAGGCAGACGTCTATTCAAAATTATTAACAATGTTACTTTTTTCAAAACAATTCCTCCAAAACAAGTCATCTGGTTCTTGACGGATTATGGACCATTTCCAACCTTCTTTAATTACCTGCATATAACAGATACTGATCTTTGCACCTGCGACCAACAAGGTTCGCCTGAACATTATCCCACTAGTTGTTCCTACACTGTCTCCTGGCATAGTTGTCAACCTAGCCCAACAAATTTAGAAATTTGGCAGAAAACTTTTATTACAAACAATACTTTAAACAAAAGATTAATAACAGTAATGAACTTCTTAGCGGATAATGACTATCTATTAAAATTTTAATAACTTCTCATTTCACATGTATAATATTTTTTTTGTCTTTTTTCTCCTTAAATTCCACACTTTCAGTAAAATCTGCTCTTTTTTTTTAAATTTTTTATTTTTTTTAAATATTATGTTATTTAGGCTGGAGTGGAGCTGGACCAGCGGCCAAGTCCTGGGCTATATGGTTAAGGGTTTTCATAACCTAGGTACATGCTCAGGGCTTGGAGGAAAGAAAAAAAAATAGTAGTTTTAATGACTCTGATTTGATCTTGTGATTTCATCCAACTTTCTTGATCAATCAAGCCATTAAAAAGCCTTAAACAAAGAACCCGGAACTTTGGGCAATCTCTAATAAGTTGATTGATACTTTGAATTTGCCGATAACATTTGCAGGCACCAGATTTTTTTGTTTGTTCTGTAAATTTTACTAAAGATTATTTTCCATGCCACTATATATAAATGGTTCAAAAATTCATATAAAACATTACTTTGTTCCAGATCTTTCGTAGTGAGGCTTTCGGCAAAAATAGTCATTATTCATTCGTCTACTGCTCTATAAAAAAAGTGCAGCAGTTGGTAGTCCTGTTAATTCAACTCTTATGAATATATAATCATAATTTGAATGGACATCAAACACATGGAATAAAATCAACGAAATAAATTACATTTTTTGGAACACACAATAAAAAAACTATTGGAAATAATTTTTATTTTGATAAAGCATATTTTAAGAAAAACTAATAAAAATTGAGGAAGTGATAAAAATAAAGTTTTTTAAAAAAAATTATATATGGGTACGTGATTAAATTGCTGTTTGTTCTGCATATCAATATTTTGTGTATGTTTAAAATACAATGGAAAAGAAAAATGTGTATATAGTTTAATAGTTACAGGCTATGACTCAAATAAATAAATAAAATTTCAAACTAAATTTCCTCTAAAAATTAAAAAAAAAATGAAGTCTAGAAAATTTCAGATATTACTTTTTTAAATTGTTTAAATGCAGCTACAGAAGAGAATGCTCGACAAAAAAATTATTCAATTTAAAAAAAAAATCAAATTTCTAAATTAGCTAATATTTTATGTTAAAATCAGCATGCATTCAAAACGTATTATGAAACAATCTACTTTCTCATAACCTTCAAGTTACAAAGCAATCAAAAATTATCTGCATGCTGTACTAAATGCATTATTAATCAATAGAATTTTTCATAAACTTATAATTTACAAAACAATCAAAAGTTTTTTGCATATGTAATTAATAAATATAATTTTTCGTAAAATCTTAGGTAACAAGACAATTGAATATTATCTGCATGGATACGAAATGCATGCAGATAAGTTTGATTGTTTTGCAACTATTAAAAATCTATCTAATCGTCTCAATCAGTTTAACTGCTCAATAATCCTTATTATTTCTCATAAAGGTTTCGCGGCAATCAAAAATTGTCCTTGAAGATTATGTGGAGACTCACTTTTCGTCAGAAAAAGATGTTTCCAGCCAGTACGAAGATGAAGATAAAATCATTGATGGTGATGAAGTCCAACTAGATCCTCCTAAAGAATCCGTACCAAAGTCGTCGGTAGATAAGTGTCCAGAAGCCCAAGAAAGTCGGTAAGTATCGCATCAGAATGTTTTAGCGGGGAACGAGAATAAAATGGTTGATTATTTGACAGGTACTACAATGTACTACAAAGGTACTGCAGTAGCACTAAAGATACTGCAGTGTGCAAAAGGTGATGTGTCTCAGCTTTTAAAAATAATTATGTGAGTGATAATTTGGCAAGTACTACAATGTGTCAGGTACTACAATATACTACAATGGTACTAAAGGTACTACAATATACTGCAATGGTAATAAAGGTACTACAATTTACTACAAAGGTACTACAATGGTACTTAAAGTACTACAATGTTTAAAAAGGTAAATGTCTTAGCTTTTCAAAATAATTTTCTGCTTAAAAGCAAAATATTTGGTCTTTAAGATAACGCGTCCTCAATACATCTGGTCTTAGAAAGAATTTATATGCGTCTAATAACGAGAAATCTTTTCTTCTAGGTCATTTTTATGAGGATACTTTATCTCGTCTTTTTGAATCCATTTATGCAAATAATTAAGGTTTTTTTTACATAGTAAGTATGTACATATTAACTATGTACATATTAACTATGTAATTATGTACTATTTTATACGCTTTTATTTAGATAATCAAGGCATAATGAAGATGTCTAATAATTTAAAAAGAAATTCAAATTAAAAACTGAATGATTCTAACAGCCACCGTGGAACATTTTTTATGCTTAAAAATTGTGAGTATAAAAACAAGACTGAAATAAATATGAACAATTAAATCTATGGTTTGGTTAAAATGTTTCGTATTTTAGAAAAATTCTTCCCGTGATGAATCTTCGTCCAGAAATATGAAACACGTGTTAAAGATGAGGTGTCTTAGCTTTTAAAAATAACATTCAGCTTGTATGCAGGATAATTCATCTTTAGGATAGCGTGTCCTCGATATATCTGGTCTTAGAAAGAATTTTATGTGTGGCAAATAATGAGAAATCTTGCCTTCTAGGTCATTTCTATGAGGATACTTCATCTCACCTTTTTCAGTTCATTTATGCAAGTAATTTAAGATACTTTTACACAATTGATATACACATTTTCTATTTCATATTAATATTACACAAAAAATGGAGAAAATATCATAATATAACTTAGTAATAAATTACAAGTGAGAGAACTTAGATGTTACATAACAAAAAGCATCCTTTTGCCTAATTTGTAATATAGGGGCATACAACCTTTTAAAATTTGGAGAACCTTTTGCTCTTTTTTATGAAGGAATTTATCAAAGCAGAAAAAATATGAAATCAAATGTTGATCATACTCAAATTTCCAGCCTTATTAATGCATCGTTAATTTATCATAATACAAACATTTCATTAAGATAATAAAAATTTAGCCATTGGTTTTTTTCCCATGGTTTTTGAAATATTTTTTTATGATCGGAGAACAAAAGCAACAATGCTTTAAATTATAACAAATAATTAAAAAGGATGTTTTAATCTGTCACCCAGTGTCATCTTCATCGTCCAATCTCTTTCTGTATTCAGCCAAATATACAAGGAGAAAATTTTTTTGCGTTTATAGACAGAAACAAATGACGTTATATGTATCAAAGCTTTTTTTGGCAATTCCGAGATATTCTTTTCTAATGTCTAATCCAAAAATGCTTAATATATTCACCTTAATTAAATTCTAATTTCAAAGGTTGATGTATCAGTTTGTAGGTTAATCGGTTGATGTATCAGTTTGCCGTTAATTTGTTTTAATCTGAAATTCAGGAATGTCTCAGTCTCAGAAAGGATTTTTTAAAAAATAATTTTTTTTGAAAGGAAAAAATTTGAATTATTCATTTCAAATATAAAAAATGTTGGACAGCAATAATTTTTAAATATCTATCAAGATTAGATAAACTAAATATTATGCACATTGGAAAAGCATTCAACATGCGGAAATTTCAGTTTTAAAAGAGTTACGTCAGTTTTACTTTGTACTTTGAAAATATAGATGACTGTCCCTTGCAAAGCTGTGTTGAGCTCATTGCAACAGGTAAAAATAACAGCCAGATCAAAACTTGCCGAAGCCTAATTACACCATTTAATTTTTGAGCTTATTAAGATGCATGTTCTAATAACATAAATCTTATTTTATATTTGACCTCATCTCTTAGAATCTTGTCAGCGCTTTTCCGAGAGATATCCTATGAAATTACATGTGCAGCAATAGTGTTTTCTGTAAACTTCTCATAATTAATGTGCTTTCGCGTGAATTTACAAAATCAAAATTTCTTCTGTTTTTCTTTTAAATATTTATTTTTACAGGCAAATAATAACAAGTCAACTGTAAAGAAACAAAGATTTCGATAAGCTAAAATTTCACATAAATTTTGGCATTTTGATTAAGTAAATAGTAATCACTTGCGGATTCCAAGTCAATGTTCCACGGGACCTTGTGTTCCGAGGAACCCAAGTTAACGACCTCTGTTATAATAATTACAATGAATATGTTAAAAAGGTTACATACTAATAAATATCCTAACATTTCCCATTACTAANAATTAATAAAAAAGATGTTTTTAATGACTTGGCAGTGATTTTTTCTTACTGCAACATACTTTTAGGTCTAAAATACTTGTTGAAATCTGTAACCCAGTGTCATCTTCATCGCCCAATCTCTTTCTGTATTCAGTCAAATATACAAGGAAAAAAAATTTTGCGTACATAGACAGAAACAAATGACATTATATGTATCAAAGATTTTTTTTTGGCAATTCCAAGATATTCTTTTCTAATGTCTAATCCAAAAATGGTTAATATCACCTTAATTAAATTCCAGTTTCAACGGCTGATGTATCAGTTTTTTCGGTTAATCGGTTGATGTATCAGTTTCCAGTTAATTTTCTTTAATCGGAAGTTCAGGAATGCCTCAGTCTCATAAAGGATTTTTTAAAATAATAATTTTGTTTTTGAACAGGAAAAAATTTAAGAATTTTTTTTTCAAATGTAAAAAATGCTGGACCACAATAATTTTTAAATATCTATCAAGATTAGATGAACTAAATATTATGCAAATTGGAAAAACATTTAACCAGCTAAAATTTCAGAAAGCTAAAATTCAAAAGAGTTACGTCAGTTTTATATTGTACTTTGAAAATATAGATGACTGTTCCTTGCAAAGCTGTGTTGAGCTCATTGCAACAGGTAAAAATAACAGCTAGATCAAAACTTGTCGAAGCCTAATTACACCATTTAATTTTTGAGCTTATTAAGATGCATGTTCAAATAAGATAAATCTTATTTTATATTTGACCTCATCTCTTAGAATCTTGTCAGCGCTTTTCCGAGAGATATCCTATGAAATTACATGTGCAGCGATAGTGTTTTTTGTAAACTTCTCATAATTAATGTGCTTTCGCGTGAATTTACAAAATCAAAATTTCTTCTGTTTTTCTTTTAAATATTTATTTTTACAGGCAAATAATAACAAGTCAACTGTAAAGAAACAAAGATTTCGATAAGCTAAAATTTCACATAAATTTTGGCATTTTGATTAAGTAAATAGTAATCACTTGCGGATTCCAAGTCAATGTTCCACGGGACCTTGTGTTCCGAGGAACCCAAGTTAACGACCTCTGTTATAATAATTACAATGAATATGTTAAAAAGGTTACATACTAATAAATATCCTAACATTTCCCATTACTAAGTAGTCGCAAATTTTATTTGAGTTTTCATATTTTGCAAAATGCAAAAAAACATATAGAATCTCAATCTTAAATGTTTATTGTAAATAAAAAAAGGGGGATACTAAACTGTTTTTTTCTGATGTCATTTATAGATATTTGCCACCACTTGGAGAAATTAATATAGCCATAGATGCAGATATCACATTATCACCAACTATTTACGTGCTTGTTTACTACGTTAGGGATGATGGCGAAGTAGTAGCGGATTCAATGAAAATCGATATTGAAAACTGTTTCAAAAATAAGGTATGTTATTAGATGAGAAATTGAAATTTTCATTTCAAAAATAGTTATAGAATAGCAATCAACCTTATTTTAGTTTTCTATTCATATTTTCTAAAAATTTTTTTAATGATTGATCTCTCTAATTCCTAGTAATGACCATATCTCGAGAAATATCATTAGAGCACAAATAATACTTTTTTTATATTTCCAATGCCCACCTGTGTTAACATTTCGTCAATTCAAGCAATTACAGGGCAAATTTGTTGACCTCTCTTTCAGGGACACCATTTTAAGTGCGCCAACGTTGTACCCGCAGTAAGGGCAGATAGTAAAAAGAATCAAAGCTTAACCCCGTCCCACCCCCGTCAGGGGGCATCCGGAGACTACTGTAGACTCAAAGTGCGCGCACGTGACCTCTGAGCAAAAGAAAAAGACGATTCAAAAAGGTTGACATGGTGGTGATCCATGGCAACACGTCAGAAAAATGGGCAAGAGAGGCAGAAGCAACTCCAGGGAAAACCTTGGTTGATGTAGGTTGGACGATGCGTGCGCAGAGCAGCGACCTCACCAAGATCCAAAGATTCCCTGCCCCCAACCTGAAGGCCTCAAAGAAGTTAGTGAAATCTTAAAACTAACAAAAGTAGTTACTCAGAAAATAGAATTTAGGAGCTTGAGTGTTCAAACATAATAAACGAGGCATGAATAAAAAAAATTACAAAAAAATAAAAAGCATTGAAAAAAGGTAACAAGCATATTGTGATGATGAAAAGTACCAGAATTTGTCCAAAGCCCATGAAAACAGATACAATTTCAAGAAGAAGAGTTACGGCGACTTGTAAAAACTATGAAAGTACAGCCATCTTGTCCGGGATTTGAACCCGTCAATCCTTTCTGATGCAAGGCCAGTTCCCTGACCATACACAGTCCTGTATGCACACAAATAATATTATAAAATGTGGAGTTTTTTTTATACAGAGTCGATAATGTACCACACCTCACGTGGGGAAAATTTTTTCTTCGTTATCTGTCTGCTTTAGTCTAGTTTCTTTTCACTGTGGGAGGAGGGAGGGTAAGTATAGAAAATTATATTGGGATCCACTGATCCCACTTTACTGTATGAAGAATAATACTTTATTAATTTACATAATGTGGATAATGTAAATCTATATTTACTTTAAGTGAATAATCATGCATCAATCGAGTTGTTCGGAATAAATATTGATTTATGATAACATTTTATCATCATAAAACATAAAAAATATCAGTGTCTATTGTATTTTTATAAAATCATACATTATGAAACCATATCAACTCGTATTAATGAAAAAGCCTGTCCATAGAAATGGTTAAAATTCCTCCCTATAAACCGCTTAGCAAAATTGCATACAATCCATGTTTAAATTGTATAATTGAAATTACTTCAGTAAAAGTAAATAAAAAATTAAAAAAACATTTTTTTAAACTTTCCATCGATCAATAAATACTTTTTAATTGCTTTGAAATCCTTACAATCAAGTGGTTTCAATTAAGTAACTTAAATGCGTTTTTGCCATTAAACTCTTCAATTAATAAAAATTGTTTTTACAAAACTATTAGGTTGATTTTGCGTTTGGCTATGATGCGCAACAGCCAGGTGCAGAGACACCAGTTACAATAAAAGCTGGAGCTAATTCCTTATGTGGCATTAAAGCAGTGGACAAGAGTGTCCTTTTGTTGGACAACAGTGACCAGCTCACAAAAGAAAAGGTAATTCTTGTGTGGAAATAGTTATTTATTACTTCTATGCCTAAAAGTATTACTGATTTTGAAAGTAAAGATCTTTCATTTTTACTCATTTTCTTTGAAGTTTACTCCAAATATATACATCCCGAATGAAAATTGCGTAGAATGATTCCGATTATATTAGTAAACAAGTAAGATATTTCTAATAAACTGACTTCTAATTATCATAATTTTTAAATCCAACCTAATATTTTTGTATTGATTTTGAATTGATTAAATTTGTCCAATAAACAAAAATTAAAAATTGAGATTTTTAGATGCTAAATCAAAAAGTTTTTCATTTTTTTTTTCTTTCTTTTTTTTAAATTTTGTAATATTGAATGTTCTGTTCATTTTTAATCAGAAAAGAAATCTGAATTTCGATAAAGGCAACATACGAATGGAAGGGCAATTTTTAATCATAATACAAAGAAAAAATATATAATATTCCTATACAAAATTTTCATAATACAAACTAATCATAATACATTCATACGACTGATTACTGATTTTAATAAAACGTGATCCGTATCTAATAGATAATATTTGTATTTAATAAACAATCAATATTTAATTTGTAAAATGTGATTTTTTAACTAATTTAGATCATTTTATTCAAATTTATATTTTGAATTTTGCATAGAATATCAGTGTTTGGTATAAATTTCAACGTGGCTGATGAAAATTTGTTTTTCTTTTACTTTAATGTCGTTCATAATCAATACAGTTCAATTTATATCAAATCAATTTTGTTAAAAATTACAGGTTTTCCAAATGGTTGCAAATTTTGATTCTAATCAATATTACCCAAGTAATCCATGCTATCGTAGCAAAGTACAGCCAGGTAATCACTTTTTATTATTAATCTTGATACCATTCTTTACAAAGTTTACGTCGTATATATTATACTGCAATTTTGGACTGGATAATTTTTTACCTACGTTTTTTATGTACCTCTCACAAACCAAATTGCTTTTTTTTTCATCGATTGCAAATAAATATTTCTCTTACTTAAAAAATAGAAAGAAATTAGTAATTCGTAATATCGGCCGAGGAGAAAAATGTCTAATGAAAAGCTTTGCAACTCCTCTTTTCTTGTTACCATCTTTCTTGCCGAGTCTAAGACTCCAACGGTTCTCTAGACTCTTTAAAGTCATGACTTCTTCCTGTTTCAGAACTTGAAAACTTTACTGATAGGACATTTTTCTGATATTTAAGATTGCACCATGATTCTGAAGGACATTCATGCCATAATGACTTATGTGCTTGGATATCTCACTAGAAACGATGCATTGAAGAATTGACAGTCTGATTTGAAGTTATTTAAAGTTTTGTATCAATCTGATACATAAATGTTTTCCAATCAACTTCCTGACGTTAGTTTTAGGACAAAACCTGTAACTGATACTACAATCTACAAACACAAAAATTAAATTTCAAATTGTTTGAAATATTTGCACTTTGCCTTCTAATTATAAAAACATTATTTAGTGGCGTTTATAAGCAAACTAAAATAGAACTCCGAAATTAGGTAATGATTTTATATATTCCCATTCAAAATGATAAAACAAACTTTTATTTATTACACGTACATGCAAAAACATGTTTTCATTTAATGGGTTAGTTGTGTATTCTTTATACTGTTTTCATATTTCATGTTTTTACAATTACAGAAAAAGGATGAAAGTAAGTTTTGTAATATTTTCTTTAAAAAAATTACGATAAAATTGAATTTTTGTGTCTTTTCTACCAAAATAATTTGGAGTTTTGATTACTTATGAAACATTTTATCAAACTGAAACTTATACTATTTAATTTATCAATGCTATAACTATTTATTTAATATTGTTTAAATGATTTTAAATTGACAATAAAAAGTGACTTTTTGGAGCACATTTTTATTAGCATTGCTTATTGTGAAAATTTAGTGCCACTTTTGATTACTTTATAGTTTAAATTAGTGACATGTTGTTCTTATCTTCTTTTATATTACTTATGTATTTCGTTTTCAGGCTTAGAAAATGCAGCAGTTCAAAAACTGTTTATACCATTTCCACCAGTCGGAAGTTCATCAAATTATGAAGATTCTCTATCAGCGTTTCAGGTTAGTTTTTAAGCCATTTCAGCATTTATAATAATTTTTAGCATCTTTTTAATTGACAAGGAAATAAGAAAGATTTAAATTCAGCTTTTAAAGTTTTTGAACTTTTAAATTTGATCTTTGAATTTAATAAACAATTCAATATTATGAGAGTGCATTTATTTCTAAATAGAATAAATTAACCACGCACTATGAAAGCGTTCCCCAACCTATATTCCATTGGTGACTTGCAAGAGAATTGTTAAAGAATGAGAATTCAGATACTAGTAAAACAATTCAGTCTACACAATGCTTCCTAACCACCAAAACGTGATTGGATTTTTTCCAGTCTTGAAATTTTCGGACATTAGATCCATTAGAGTGGATTTCAAGACATGGTAACGAAAATGTATAGTTCATTCACCAGGAGTTGGCACTTTGCTCATCCTTCATCACGTGGTATCCGACGATACTATTTCGCTATTTTTGGCAAAAGGATGTGAACAATCCTGAACAAAGATGCTATTTGATGATCGTATGACAAAAATATTTATTTCGAAATCTTCATGTGCATTTTTTTAGCATTAAATATTTCATAACTTTGATAATATTTCTCTCTTTTGAGTGAATCGTTTGTTCTTTTTGAGACATTTTGTTGGGAAAAAAGCAGTTTTTAAATTCAAAATATAGCTAGAGTAACGAAAGGTATTTATAATAGCGAATGATAAAGGGAAGTAAATGACTGAGAAATAATTCACTGTTTGCGTTTGGCGCGCTTTAAGGGTAATCTCATTTTCAAGAGCGGAGATGCTTCTCCTCTTACTCCCGAGCTGAATGAATTCTGCTTCCGACGGGATGGAGCCAAGTGCCAACTCCTGGTGAGCGAACTATAGTTTTAACCACCTTTTCTATTCTGAGAAATCAAACCTCTGATCATGCCGTTTAAGTCGAGTACGCTCTCCACTATACCAACTAGACGGTGAATAAAATATATCGTTTCTATATAAGTTAAATACTTAGCGGATATCAATGTGATCAATTTTAATTTCCTGTAAATATATGTGAAATAAGTTATCTGAAATCAATTAAATGTGCATTATAGTATATATATACAGATGCTCTACATCACTAAAACACTAATTCAATTCTGCTTTATGAGAATGAATATTGGGCAATAACCAAGCTGCATGAAAATAAATTATTGACCTATGAACAGAAAATCTGAAGGAAAATATTTGGTGCCGTTCTTGAGAATAATAGCGGAAAACTCTTGTTTAACTTTGAAATTTACCAAAAGTACAGGAAGCCTGATATTTTTAAAGTCATAAAGTGCAATAGATTACCTGTGGCTCGGACATCTATTTCGATCTAATAATGAAACCCAGTTAAAGCAAAAAGCTTACTTTTACTAATACCATGGGAAACAGAAAACGAGGACGACCATCAATTAAGTGGCTTGACTCTGTGTAGAAGGGCTCTCTTATAGTTTTTTGTCTTTTCTTTCTTAACCGAATATTGGGAGTCGTCGTTCGGATACAGAAGAGCAGAATCGGTGACCACTCTTTCTGGGGCACCATAATAGGTAGACCGATGTTGCATCCACATCGGCCGATGTTGTTCATATAAAAGCTTCAACCTGTAACAGGTTATAGTGCCTTGAAAGTAGAAGTTACATATTCTACAAAGATTCTCAAATTCTTTGAAGTTCTACAAAAGAAAATGTTACTTCTAATTCGTCACTTAGTATTATTTTCTATATTTTCAGACCTCTGGATTGCTAGTTATTAGTGATTTGTACGTATTTACTCGACCATGTGAAACTGGTTTCAGGGGTGGGCCGGGAGGACGTCCTATTTTGCTCCAAAGTAAAGGTAACTTACACAGAAAAGGTATCCTATTTATTTTTTTTATCTTCGTTAAAAAAATAAGATTTAAAAATTAATTCGCACTTATCACTGATTCCTGCTTTTTTCAACAAAGTGTATTAAATATGAAGCTAAATATATTTAGGCGATACAGAAGAACATAATTTCCAACCTGTTTTAAGTTTCAGTAATATTAATGATAAATCGTTTTTTTTCCCCTAAAAATTCAAAATTAAGTTTATATTTTATTTACTCCTTTTTCTCTAAATAAATATCATTATTACAATCGCTTTCTCAGCAACTTTGACGCGCAAACGGAAATCGGTTATCGATTAAGATTCTTTCTGCTGCGACTTAGAAATTTTTTATTTCGAAACATTTTTGGAATTAAGGCTATCAATATTCATCCTTATAGTTTTAAACCTAATTCAGAAATCAAAGGAATCCTGGATCAAGCATTGGGACTAACTAGCTTGTCGTTGTGGGTTTCCTGAGCGAACTAACCCGCATTTACCTTACATGAAGAGAAAACTTGTGAAAATCTCCCGTAATTAGTCTAAACAATAGTCCTTTTGTCACTGATGAATTTTTTTTACTTTAACACTAAGCTTGGAACATTTGTGTAAAATTTGAAAACCATTATTTGATTGCTGCAATATTTTTTTGATTATAAATTGTTATAATTATTTCTCTTAACCTCCTCATGCCAACAAATTGTTTTAAGACTAGGACATTGGCAATAATTTGTAGTATTTATTAGCCAAATAATAGATGCCTTAGTCAGGTTCTAACATCTATAACACGCTTACTTTTATGTTTTTTTTCCATCGGAAAGATGTGTTCTATTAGTTCATGCCCATCACTCTAAATTTGTATTTTTGAAATTTTTCTACTAAATATATATTTTTTTAACAACAATAGAGCTTCTTGTTGTTTTCACGAAAAAAAAATCTGTTTTTTCATCAATACATTGTATCATATTCATATTATTTTATATTCTTCATATTATTTATTCTGCATATTATTACATATTCTTCAAAAGAATTTATCTGAAAATTAAATTATTCATAGCTTCGATTAAGGTAAGACTTCAACAGAAAGTTTATCTATTTCGAAAAATTGAGCAAATGCAATAGAGAAAGCTATTAATGGTATTTCCCCATTGCAGAAACCTCTTCAATACAAAGAATAAATTAAAACAAAAACTGTATGAGCCACATTTTCCAAGTAGATTAAAATAAATAAAATACTTTTATCTTTGTCAAACTATAAGAGATAAACGTAGGACTAGTCAGTTTTGAAAGAAGTGGAAGGGAGGTTTCCGAAGTGAAATCGATAGAAAGTTATTACGAAAGTGGTGCACTCTACACTGTAAAAAATTCTAGATCAAGTAAATGTCGGAACTTGCGTGCATCTTCCGTGAAATTCATTTCACGGTAAAATCCATTTTTACCATACAATATTATACTGTAAATTTCACAGTAATACTTAATTTACTTGAGTGATTCACAGTGATTTCGTTGTACTTATTACTGTAAAAATCACTGTACATCATATATTTTGTTTTGTGATATTTGCGGAAAAATCGGTAAGATTTTACGGTAAGAAGTACTGGGCAACTTAAGTGCCGATACTTTTACCGTACTTTGATCCAGAATTTTTTGCAGTGTCTGTGCTAGTTTGTAAATATAAAAAATATAAAATTAACCTTTTAGCTTGCTTGAAAAACGTACATTTTATGACCTTTATTTCACTTAAAAATAAATAACGCTTTTGAAACAGGTTTTGAAAAATAGCCTTAAAGCTCAGAGTTTGAAAGAACAAAGTCCTTGTTGGCACTTCCTTTTTTCTTAAAAAATTTCATTTTTTCAACAAAAAACTATTATTTTAGTTTAAAAAATTATGATACTTCAGCCATATTTTTTCCCCACCAGACTAACCCAACTTATTTAACCTAGCACATTTTTATGGTACTAACAAATTTAAAAGATATTACAGTAGAATGTTCCCTATTATTTTCAACATAATAGAAACATTTTCTTTTTATTGTAGAATTACTTTTAAGCCACATTTTTACTTTTTCACTTATCTAGCTTTTGCGACAACTCCAGGAATAATTCAGGCTGACATAATTTCTAACGTTCGTATAGGATCAGGCACATCCTCACTTCAATCAATCTCAGATGTAAGAAATAATTTCCCAGAAACATGGTTATTTGATTTAGAGATGACAAAGTAAGAAAATTACCTCAAATTTTTATACCATGCTAAATACATGAAATAGAAATACAATTTTAACACGTTGAAGAAATACAATAATGCCACGCTAATTTTACATGACTTTTCCGTTTGGCCAAAATGATTTTCTCAGTATTTGTTGCATTAATTTCTTCAAACCATTTTAGTAACGATTATAATATAAACAAATTAAAAGCATTAAAAATTTACTCGAATGTGTTTCTAATAATCTTGGCTTCGCCGGTCACCGGTGACACCCGTGGCGCTACGAGCAAACTCAGTGCCGGTCACGGGTGACCCCCATGGCATCCAACATATTAAAAAAAAAAGTTGTAAAAAAAAATCAATTTTCTCTAAATCACTCTCGAAAATCTTGCTCTGAATTAATTTTCTTAAAAGGAATTTTTCTTCAAAAAAAAAATAATATACAACTAAAGATTTAATTTTTGCCTAATTTTTCGAAAATGCTTAAAAAATTTTTAAAATGAATTATTAATTTTTTTTAATATTTCATATTCATTCCCTTTGTTTAAAATCAGTATTGTTTCGTATTCCCTATTCTCCACAAAATGTTCGCTCCATTTCAAACGATATACAGGGTGTACCATAATGACTACCCGTAGTACGCATTCTTAAAATCCAGTAAAAAGCTATGGATATTTTATAAGTCACAAAACAATACTTAATTGAGGAAGATTAAAAACATATTCAACTTCTCAGTAACCATAAGTAAAGTTAAAAAAAAAGTGAATGAAATTTCAAATAAACAAGTTTAAATGATGAACCTTAAATATAAATATTCGAAAAGTATAAATAATTACGCATTTGGATATTAAATATTTTCGTGGGAGCCCTATTATACAAGTAACTATGTATTTTAGGACAGAATTTCTAAAACGCAAAGAAGGCAATGCATAAAAATTCCTTTTTATAAGATTCATATTCTTTAGTGACCATTTTTAATGTGTATTTTAAGAATTTTTGTTAAAAATGTTGTCAAAATACATTATATTAAGTCACAAATTTTTACTTTAGTTAAAAAATAGTATATATATATGGATGATTCTTTGAAAACATGACAATTAGGAACAAAAAATTTCTGAAAATTTAAAGTCTTCAGAATATTAAAAAAAAAATTTGTATTTTTTATTTAGTTTTGATCAAGAAAAAAATAGTGACTTTTGCACAAGAAAAAAAAATAAAATAGAAATTCACCAAATTTTGAATGACAGGAAAATGACATAATTGCTTAGAAGTTTAAAAAAAAAACAGTCATTTTGAGCTAATTGTAAGTAACTCAACTTAAGCCTTTGCGTTAGATGAATTGCTTAAATTAATTCTTTCATTCACTGTAGAAAGAATTAAAAATGCTTTTTTGCTGATAAGTACAGAATAAAATTGTATATAATAATCAATAATTAAATAAAAAATAATAACTTTGAATACATTCAAGCATATTACAATCTTACATAAACTTGGTATTAGGTTAATATTTGCTTTCCCTCTTTTCTTATACTGTTTAAAAAAATTTCTGGTAACTGTGTCAATGTCCTGGCATTCATGTGCCTGGAACATGGCAGCCAGGATAGCATCTAACTTTACTTTAAGTTAACATTTCGGCCGAAGACGTTTACATTCAGCAGAAAACAACAGGATTTCTCGAAATAACTCAGGTAAATCTATGTAGTTTATGTAATTAATGATTTCAAGAAGACAGGAAAATGCCAACATAAAAACCTACTCATCTTGAAAAAATTTTTGAAACATATTTTGAACCAGTAAGATGGTTCTTTATTCATGTAATAAGACATGTTCAGATTGGATGGTATTCTAACCAATCTATTAACATAAGATATTGATTGCTGGCTCTATCCATTTTGGTTATCACTAATAAAAATAGCCAGGAAAATGACAGATTTTCTTGTGACAAGCAAACTATTGACAGAAAAAATTATTTTCAACTATGTTTTTGTAAATAATACCCTCTGCATATATTTTAGAAATGCGTACAACGGTTGAGAGAAAAAAAAATTTCATATTGAAAAATTTATGGGAAGTTTTGAAGCTAGTTATTATTGGAAATATTGTTTGTGACATTTCAAAATGACATTTTGTGCTAGTACAAGGTCATTTTAAAATGTTAGCAGCAAGCTATTTATTAAAATTTTGAAAAAAGAGTTCTTTTAGTAGTATAGTATTAGATCTTGGAGCAAGAGACTGTAAATTGTCATATTTCGTGGTAAGAGTCACCCATATATATATATATATATATACGATTTTTTTAACACCCTAAGCTACGACTAAACACCCTGAGCTTAATCCGTCCGTCAATAGTGATTGGTCTGAATAAGAAAATATATTTGTATTTTTGTCTTTTTACTTAAATACCATTGTTGCGCATCTCACGGGCCATAGTCATTAGTTAAAAAAAAATCAGCAACAACCCAAAATTTAAAATAAAAAACAGCAATCATCGTATTAGCATAAATATTTTACATAAATACCGCTCTAATTTTGCGCTCTTCGCTTCATATTTACAGTGAGGATGGAGTGTTCGAGAAAGATTTCAAGCTGCCGGACACAATAACGAAATGGGTAGGAAGTGCTGTGTGTGTCAACAGTGAAGACGGTTTGGGAATATCAAATACAACGAGCATAACTGCTTTCCAAGCATTTTTCATAGACTATACTCTTCCAATTTCAGTTATCAGAGGAGAAGAATTCGTTGTAGTTGTTTCCATTTCCAGTTATACTGAAGGAGCTTTGCCAGTAAATAATACTTAAATTTGTATTATATTTTTGCATATATTTTTATTTATACAGAAGGAGCTTTGCCCGTAAATAATACTTAAATTTGCTTATGTTTTTGTATATATTAGTGCTTAAACTGAAGAAGCTTTTCCAGTAAACAATACTTAAGTTTGTATACATCTTTTGTATATATGCTGAATTAGCTTTGCCAGTAAATAATATTTAAATTTGTATTATATTTCTGTATACATTTTTGTTTTTACAGAAGGAGCTTTTTGCTTGTAAATAATACTTAAATTTGTTTATATGTTTGTATACATTTGTATTTATACTGAAGAAGCTTCACCAGTATATAATACTTAAATTTGTATGTATATTTGTAGTTACACTGAAGGAGCTTTGCCAGTACTTAAATTTAAATTAATAAAAATTAAAAATTTTATAGCATTGAAAATTATAGTGATGTATAGTATATTTTCATATCTCCAACTTGAAGAGACCCTAAAAACATTTCGAGACAGCGAGATTTCGAGATAACATGATCAGAGCAAATTTATGTTCTAAAAAGTAGAAAAATATATTCTAAGAAATATTATTCTAAAAAGTAGATACATGAAATTAAATAACTATTAATAATTATGTATGTAATGATAGTAGACTACAAGTCTAAATGCAACATTGATAAAAAGTAAGCATTAAAAATTATTTCTGAAAAGTAAGTAAGCATTAATATTCTGAAAAGTAAGACAAAAAAAATATGCATTAAATAGAAAAGAATTGGTTTACAATAAACTTACATAGTGATTTTTCGCAAAAAAATTCAATTTTTATTTCGAAAAAAAATTTGACATAACAGAGTTTTGAGAAGAAACTTTTCGACATAAGAATTCAAATGAACATTAGGTTGATATATAATGCCTAAAGGAAAAATATATTTTTTGTCATAACAAGGTTTTCGAGTTATTGAAGTTCGAGATATCGTGAGTAAACAGTAGTTACAGCTTTGAATCACTGATTATGTATTGACTTTTGTTAAGATTGAAAAATAGTGGCAACATTTAATGAAACATCATCCAGAGGCGACAAGTTTTAGCCGTCAATCGACTTTCAGCTTCGTTCATAATACCTTCCCATTCGATTCTTTCACCCAATTTGGCTCAAATTTTATAGTTTGAAATTTAAAATTGAATTCCTTAAAATGATGTAAAAACTTGTACACATTACAATTTAAAATTGTTTCTACTATTATTAAAAAAAAATAATAAAATATAAGAAATATTTTTAAAAAAATAGGTTTTTCATGGAATTATCTATGTACAAATGAAATTTGTAATTGTGTGCAAAAAATTTTCGATTCTCTTTGTGAGGGTCCGAACTTTGGATCGCTCTCTCCTGATCAAACTCTTATGATCACATTTTCCAGAGTGCGTCTAACCCCTAGAAATTGGAGGGCAAAAAATCCGATTCCGTCTGAAAAAAAGTCATGTTTATTAAGAGAAATAACGTTTTGTGGCTGATTTCATAACTTGAAATATCATCTATAATGATTATTTAGCGTGATTGATGTTAAGATCGAGTCCCAGAACGTGAAGATCCATTGATTAATTCAAAATTTATTTAAGGTGGTCCATTTTTTCCGCACTATATTTATTAATAAGTGATTTTTATAAATAAATTATTTCTCAACAGATCACAGTAACATTGGAAGACCCTGAAGGATTCGAAGTTGTGGGTGATTCTATTAATGGTGATATCTGTGTCCATCCAGATTCCAGTGTGAATTTACCTATTACACTGAAAGCAACCAAAGTCGGTAAAGTTCAAATCATCGTCAAAGCTGAAACAGCACAGTCTAGTCAGGTTTGCGGAGATTCTCCAACATCGGACTCTTATGCAAGAGACGCAATTATGAAACCAATCGAAGTCGAAGTAAGTGTATTTTAAACTTGGGAATGACATACAAAGTGCTCCGTAATCACCGCTCTTTATAAATATTTTAAGAATAAAAGTTTTTAAAAAAATTACAATAAAAATGTATGCACCCTGTGAAAATAAAATAAAGAAATATATGCACAACAGGGGCACTTTATGCATACATCGCAAGGTAATTGAATTTTCTGACCTATAGTGACAATCATTTTTCAAAACGATATTTTGCCAGCCTAATTCGAAAAACAATGAGACATTTTCTGACACAACTAGGGCTTGTTGCAGTCACCCCACGAATTAGAAAAGATATCTTCTCTGCTCAGTTAGACTGTAAACCTTATTTTTTTTCAAGTAGATTGTAACAAGCCCGAAGTAGCGACGGCTTATTGTAAATAGCGTTATTAAACGTTTATTGAAATAGGCCTAAGCAAATTTAGTTCTGTTTACTTCATCGGGCATTTCTAATGTAGTTTTAAGGCTTGTAGACTGATTGTAATAAGCCTTAAATACCAGATAAGTTAGAAAATACAGAAGCCTTTTTGAATTAGCCTGTTGTATTGCAGAAAACTATTTTAAAACGAACGAATTTTTCAAATAGCTTACGATATTAGTTTTTAAGCGTAGAAAAGCAAAAATGCTCTCAAATCTGACAGCAACATTAGGTACTAATAATATTTGGATGTATTACAAATAGTCATCGTTCTCCTCTTTTCTCCCACCCACGCCGGCAATCCCACTTTCCTCGATAATAAATCGTTAATTTTCGATAGCATTTTGTTTTTTGCTCCTCATATTAAATTGATACCCTGAATGTCAATCATTTTTTACGAAAATACGTTTTATGCTCTCGGACCGCAAATTCGAAGTTTTATTCTCATAATGTTGACTCAGCCTTTCAGTGATTTCATAAAATGAGTATCAAGCATGATTGGTAACTTAACACTGAGAGTTCCGCGTTTAGCTGACCACCCAACTGTAAGATTTGCATCTGCACCCCAGAGACGAAGGTCACAAAAACTGGGATGTGTGCAGTAGGCCTTGGCCCTCCATGGACCGTTGAGCCACTGACTTTAGCTTAGTTATTAAAAGCATCATTATGGTACACATTGCTTAAAAATTCGTAATTTTGCATAAATGAGAATTTTCTGAGCAGCTTGATGCACCGTGGCACATAAAAAAATAATTAATAAATAATATTGCTTGTAGATATAGCAACAAATAATTTTTTTTACTCGTAATTTTTTAGTATTTTTTTATAATTATTTATAGCATTTCTTTTGCATGAGTTGCTTCCTAGTTTACTTGGTGTTTTCTTCTTCTTGTAAAAAAAGCATCGACTTTTTTTTGACTAAAAGTGTAGCATAACTATTAATTTTAGTTGTCATTCTGCGAAAAAAGCAGATCTGTTACTAATTTCCATGCATCCTGTATTTCTGACGAGGTATTTGCCATTTTGTTATCTGTATTATTATTGCATTTATTTATAATTTATGAAATTCGCAGGCTGAAGGTTTCTTCAATGACAATGTAATCAACACTCTATTCTGTCCCTCAGGTAATTTAAAAAGTGTTCTTCGAGCATTTTTCGAGCATTTTTTTTCTAATGTTTTGTAATTTTGCTAGATTTGTTGATAATGTGTCACTACAAAAGAAGGGCGGTTACAACTACCGTGGACTCAATATAAAGATTATACTAAAATCAATCAATTAATCAACTAATCAAAGGTGACTAATGTACCTATATTAATCGGTCAGTCAAAAAAAATGAACAGTTTCATTTTGTAGTACGCAATACATGAATATAACTAAATTATTCGTGTTCACTAAATTTAAAATTAATACTTATAAATTTCTGACATTATTTTATATTTAGTGTCTTTCTATAAAATATTAATAATCAGAATATTAAAAATAAACAAAATGGGCTTAAAAACTTTTTATATCTCCATATATATTTAAAAAAAGATGATTGAAATTTTTGTTTCGAGCATTCTCATTTGAAAATTAAATGTTTTCAATTAAGATAGGGGATCCAAATATCTTTAGCTAGCATTCACATTAAATAAAGCTTAGAATTTTGTTTTACTTGGAAATTTTTGTTCCTTATTTAAACGTATCTATTTGAAATATTTAACTAATAAAAATATAAACTATATATTCTTTGTTATTATTCCGTTCACGATTTTGATTATTATTTAAAATTAAATGTTTACAACTTATAGTGTCATTCCTTTAATATTAAATAATCGTAATAAATTACCTTATTCAATATTTTGCAATAAAGACATTTTATTAGAGTTTTAAATTTATTAAACAGTTAATAAGTTTTATTTGCTTTATAAGTTCATAAGTAACAATAAATTTATAATAAATTATAAATTTATTATAAATATAATTGAGATGAAAAATAAATAATAAATTAATAAATTATAAATTTATTATAAATATATTAAAGATAATGAATAAATAATAAATTTATAATAAATTATAAATTTATAATAAATACAACATGTATAATAAATAAATAATAAATTTAAAGTAAATCTACGTCCAGCTAACATTAGCAATTAAAATTATTAATGAAAAATAACTGAAATTGAATGGAAAAAAAATTTAGAAAAATCAGAAGTAATAAAAAAAAGCTCTTCAAAAACATAAACATGTTTTGGTATTATATGGGTTTACCTTCATTAAATGACAAAGATTACAAAACAGAGAAAATGTATTTTGGCAGAGTTTACGTCATACAAATTGAGATAAGCATACAGTTGAAAAGTAATAACATCAAATTGACAGTGAAAGTCGAAAAATTTGAAAAAGATGTACATTATTTCCAAATATTTGGAATGTATGGTAGTGTATAGTTTGGAATATATGGCAGCGAAAACTCTCCTAGAAGCTCAGGTTAATGCATGAAATACATTTATGAACGACATTAATTGAGGAATCAATGGCCTTCTGTCAAGCAGTGTTTTGCGATAGATGAGCTATAAAACTTTTGATTCTAGGTATTAGAGAATTAAGTAGTCAAGCTTTAAATCTTTGGCAAAAATATTTAACGAGTCCTTACTGTAACCAAAAATTTAATAAAAATTCGAAAAACAAGGTGAATGAAGTTGAAAAGATAACCAAGACTAACTAATAGATTTTAAATTTTCCCCCGAAAAAAATTAGGGTTATCAATATGTTTATTATCCCGAAATAAATTGATTGTAAGGTTTTTATTATAATATCGTATCATAATGAAAAGCAAAAACTTCGTGTCTAAAAACGCTTTTCTTCAAATATTAAGAAAAATACTCTCGTTTTCTGAAATATTGATTCCGTCTAAGTTTTTTTTTCTTTAATTTTAGTTTTAACATTCCATGTTTAATTAAATGTTTTGGCATAATGTCTTAGGTCATTCATAAAGAGATAATTTGTTCTACCGTAATCTATGTTTTGTTTTTCCGTTCGAGTTAATTAATGTTACTTTTCTAATCATTAAAATGGAATGTCAACCTTACATAAAGTAGCATTTTCGGTACATCTTATTTCAATTATAATCAAGAGTCTAAATCCGCAAAAGCTGCTCGTGATATTTTTGCTATGTAGGAAGAGGATGCCATAGCTTCATTAAACTCTCGTGATAGCCATGCCTAATTTTTAAAAGTAATATCTTTGAATTCAATGTTAAAAAAAAATTATGATTTTTCATTTTTGTTTTAGATAATGATGACAACTCGTTTGAAACGTCAATTACCCTCAGTTTGCCCAATGATGTAGTTCCTGATTCTTCTAGAGCATACATGGATTTTACTGGTAATGCTTTTCACACTAATTTTACTTTACTTTTTAAATATAATAGCACATACACTGGTGGACAAAATTAAGAGATGGAAGACATTTTCCTAAATATCTCAAAAAATACTGAATATAAATAAATGAAATTTAGTATGGATATAGCTTATTCCATGATAATAAAGTATGCAAAACAAAAATGAAAGTCCCATTCGCTGGCAAAAACTATTGCCAATAACTCCAATGTAGTCTGAACTTAAGGATAAAGGATGACAATAAAAGTGAGGCTTGTACAGTATGCGTTGCCTCTAGTATGGTGTATGGTCATCCCTGACAGGCAGTGAGCATGTACAACGAGTATGTATGCTGTTAATATGGGAGTTAAGGAGGACTTGTGGAAGACCCTCCCAATCTTCCACCAGAGCAATTTTTAACTCCAGAATGGTTCTGGGGGGGGGGAGAGAGGTTTGCGCATCGCAATAGTTCTCCCAAGAGTATCCCAAGCATGTTCAATAGGATTCAGATCGGGGGATTTGGCTGGTCAATCCATTCGTTGAATATCCTCGCTTTCCAGATTCTCATCAACCATGAGAGCCATATGTGGTCGTGCATTGTCGTCCATGAAAATGAACTCAGGGTCAACAGTGCCCCTGAAAAGACGCACATAGGGTACTAGGACCTCCTGCCTGTACCCCTGGGCATTCACGGAACCATTGTCAAACACAAGAAACGGTGTGCGGGTATCTTACATGATCCCGGCCCAAACCATGAGTCCTCCACCAGCATAATGGTCCCTTTCGATAATGTTGCTGGGATGGTATCGGGTTACAGGTTCCCTCCATATCAATAACCGTCCAGAATCAGGTTGTAGACTGAATCTGGACTCATCAGTGAAGAGAACTTTAGCTCATTGAAGCTGTGTCCAATTCTGTTGTTGTCTTAATTTTGTCCACCAGTGTATTTATATACAATTCATATATGTAATTGTATTCTTAATAGTAATTCATAAATATATTAATAAATACAAGTTTGATTAATTATCATTTGTAAGTAGGGTACAATTCGAAGCCTTTATTATATAAAATAAGGATGTACATTTACGTTATTATACGAGAATTATGTGAAACGTAAAAACAAAAACATTTAGCACTCTATAATATTAAAACTGCCACAATTATGAATTAATATTTAATGTAAATCAAACTTTGTTTTTCTTCTTTTCTAACATCAAACTATGAAGGTTGACCTTCGGCATATTGAGCCATACATACGGTGAAACATGCTTCAAACAAAAAATATCTAACAACAAAACTCTAAACAAAATTGAGAAACGTTTCAACACCCGCTCCGCCTCAGCTCTATTTTATTTCCTATTTTATAACCGTCGTTGAACAGCTGACCAAATTTTAGGGTTTTACTATTACTTATGTTCAACTCCGTAGTCTTGTAATTAATTTTAAACCAAATCCAGTAGACGAGGATATACCTGGATCAAGTATCAGGAGAAATTTCACTTTTTGAAGGATTCTTTTATGGAATTAACCCACATTTGCGTTACATGGAGGGAAAAAAACCCAAGAAAACCTCCTACGGTTAGCCGAACGGCAAAGGGACTCTAACCCGTGATCCGTCTACCACTGAGGATAATTTATGCCAGCACGTATCGACCAGCCATCGCTGGGATTTGTATTCGTTTCCCCTCATTGGAAGGCGAATGCTCTAGCCCCTAATGGCTCTCTGAACGCTATGAAATTTTTAAAGTGGGATATGGTGTCACTGTTGTTGTGTGCTGAGATTTTTCCTCACAACTTCAGTCTTTTGTTGAAAAAGCACCGTCTTTACATTATTGAAAATATTTCCTTCCACTAGATATGCCTTCAGATTAGCTTTATAAATAAGACTATCTTCAAATTAAATACGAGCAAATTTTGAAAACTAATTTTCGAAAATATTTATAGTTAATACTAAAAGTACAAGTTTCATATACAGGGCGATTGAATGTCAATTTGTAGAAGGAACGGATTGAAAAATTTTGCAGTAACATCTTAATTTTTACTGAAATTTTAAGCAAAAAGAAAAAAAGAACGTGAGTTTATTGCCTAAAATCATGTAAGAACCAAGCAATTGAGCAGCTTTGACTCAGTGGCTAAAAAACTTAGCTGTTATTGTTAAAAAGCAGGGATTCTATTCCCAGGGGACAATCTATTTTTGAGACAATCAAAATATTATAAAAAATAAAGAAAATAATTCTTTTAAAAATCGTTTGGCAATGGGATACTCTAAACTCGAAAAGAAGTGGCCAGCTGGTACACAACCGCCTGACCTATAACCTCAGCACCAGAAGGTTGTTAAACAACAAGATGGTGTGCGTGCTAATATACTGAATATTGCTAGATGAAGTCTAGCTAAGATTCTCCATATAAGTTAGAATGCTAACGTGAAGTTGATTAAATGCTATTATTATATTAGCTTTGTTATTATAGCTTTGGTATATTAGCTTTGCTAAAATGTGTTTCCTTCTTGTATACATCGTACATCATTTATTTAACGTAAATTTATTATTCGTTTCTGCATTTTTTGTAACAGTGATTATTTTTGTTTTTTTGTGTATCTGGTGAGTTTGTTGCATTATCAGTTTGTTTATGTTCTACATGGATTCGTACCTGTCTTTTTGTTAAGTAAGAAACGAGCTTCATATTACTAGGTCACTTAGAATTCACATTTGATTTGTTAGGCTTACTGGAAATAGAATGGAAAGAACAGTTGTTAATATAAACAAACGCCACGTTTCAACAGCCAATCAGGATCGATATCCTTGATGACGTCGTTTGTAGGTATCCAATTACGAGATGAGTTTTCAGTGAGGACGAGAGCTCTTCTCGTGACAGTAAAACAGTATGTTTTTTTTTCTCTTATAATATGTGTACTTTTAGGAAATGTACTGGGGCCAGCAATAAACAATTTGAACAATCTCGTTTCTTTGCCAACCGGATGTGGTGAACAGAATATGGTGAAATTCACGCCCAATTACCTGGTACTAGACTACTTACAAGATATTGGCATGTTGACCGATGACATTAAAAATAAAGCAATCAGGAATCTAAACACAGGTAAACAGTTCTACTTCTAGAGTATTTTTACGATTTTTTTAAATTCAAACATTTTAATTAGCATTTTGAAAATTTTAAGCTATTTTTATTTTTTTAAGAACTACGATAATTATCGTTTTTTTAACCTAAAAAACAATTATATATACATTAAAGTTAGAAACTTTCCAAAAATTGTAATTTTTGCTGTAGTTCTAATTCTGATAATTAATCATAATTTAAAAATTGACCAACTTTACAACGCAATTAGTTAAATCAATCCAGAACGATTTGTTACAGTTTTACTCTATAGTTTTCAAATTGAACATTTACTTCCTTTATTTTCTTTTTAAGTAAATAAATAAATTAAACTTAGATTGTGGTATTTAGATACCAATATTTTCATTAATAGCCTTTTCAAAATTTTTTTCAACTATATGAAAGATTTTAAGGTCTTTAAACAAAAGTTTGTTGAGAATGTTTCAAAATAAATTATTTAAAATCCGTTTCGATCGGTTGAGAGGAGGGGTTTTTGAAGCCTTTTCTAAAAGGAAAATAAAAAGGCACCGTTTGAGTGCTAATCCAAAGAAACGAATAATTTTATGTTGAAAAGTAATAACATATTAATAAAATTAATAACTAAATTAAGCGACAAATTTATATTTCAGGGTACCAACGAGAACTCAGGTACCGCCACAATGACGGTTCTTTTAGTGCCTTTGGAGAAACAGATAGAGAAGGAAGCATGTTCTTAACAGCTTTTGTACTTCGTTCATTTTACGAAGCAAAGAGATACATCTACATCGATGATAACCTCATAAAACAGATGCAAGAATGGATCGTTTCTAAACAATCAACCAATGGTTGCTTCCCGAACATTGGTCGCATCGTAGACATCGGCTTACAAGTAAATTACCAATTGTCCCAAAAACGACGAATGGGAAGTACTGCTGCGTTCTACTTAGGAAACCAGTTAATTCATTTTCATTAAGTTTCAAAATCAGTTTCAAAGATTCATTGACAGAATGCGCTGCTAACAGAGAAAAAATATAAAACAATTCTTTCAAAATAACTATTCCTTGTAGCAAAAACAAAGGTCAAAAGTAACAAATATTTAATGTAGAATGATTTGAAAGATGCAGAAAGCATTGTTTTATAATTCATTTCAGTAAGTTTCATCTACTGTTAATAAACTTTGTCAGGAATTCTGAAATTTATTGAGGATAAAAATTTATTTCCTAAGCAGAATGCAGCAAACTTCAATTTTTTATTTATTTATCTTAAATTTTATTTTAAACTGTTATTTTGCCATACCTTTTTCGTTTGTTATACTGAAGTTCAAAAACACATTCAACTGTCTAATTTGTTAGCTATCTTTTAACTGCTAATCATACAAGATTAAATTTTACAATTTAACTGCTAATATGTTATCTAAATGCCAGCTAAATTCTATGTTAAACTGCTAACCTTATATTTCAATATATAGTTAGCAATTTAATACGGACTTTGTAATAGAAATTAATAACAAAAACTTATTTTTTTCTTTTTTTAATTATGCCTTAATTAAATATTTTAGTATATGGTAAACAGCTAATATAGAATTGGTAGCAGAAAACAATAATATTTTTTTTTAATTATTATTATTATGGATAACTCAAAAGTTTTACTATCATTAAGTAAAATAATAAAAGTTGTATATATTTACTAATTTTTTTTAATTGGATAAACAAATTAATAAACATCTTTGGGATAAACAAATTTTATAATTGCGCGCAAAGATTTTTCAATTCCATTTAAAAGTTCTCGAGATATGGCGAAATACGCAAAGAATAAAATTTACATTAAAAGGTCCAAACTTCGGAGCACTGTCCTAACTAAACTATGGGGACCATAGTTCTCAGATTGTGGCTACCCCTATATTTGGGGAGGGGGTCAAAAATCTGAATCTATTGAGAAAAAAAGGTATATTTACTCAGAGAAAGTACGTTTTTGTGTCTGATTTAGTAACTTAAAATATAGTCAGAAGTAAGTAATTAGCATATTTGAGATCCCCCATCGAGCCATTCTTAGAACGTGAAGATCCGAACATTAGATAAAAAGTTATTTATGGTGATCCATTTTTTATTTTGCACTCTGTAGAATATTTATTAAGTACTATAAATATTTACTTCTATTAATTACTTATATATTTGAACTACTTTGTAGGGTGGTGTTAGAGATGAAAATTCCTCCGGCAGTATTACAGCTTATGTCCTGGCTTCACTTCTTATTGCAAATTATAACAATAAGACTATTATAAACGATGCATTCAGTTGTCTTAAAGATTATCCACCCACGAACCCATACGGTGAATTTTTGTATGCTTATGCCTATTCCCTAGATCAAAACACACCAGAAACAAAGAATTTTATTGACGAAGCAAGACAAAAGATTAACAGAACAGGTAAACTCAATGAAATATTTTTTGGTAATATTTAAACAAAGTATTGATTCTTTCCTTTAAAACACTCTCGCTGGTACACTGTGAAGTTTCTTTCTAAAATTACGGTAAAATAAAAAAGAAATTTAATTATATATGGCTAGGCTTTTAATTAGGCAATGCACATTTTGGGTTAGTTTTTGAGTGTTTTGTCAAGAGAACCGTATAATGTCACTTGTTTAGTTTATGTAGTGGTGTCATCTATAGTGAGAGATTGGAAATACTAAACTTTTTGAGTTAAGCAATTCTGTGGTGCTGCCATCTATGTGCGATTGAGTTTCTTATTCCAATAGTCCAGGGTGACTAGTTGGGGAATGCAGGACTCTGTTGAAGGGAAAAGAAATATTGTGATGTCAATGCTGGAACTCTAACCCCCGTTCTGTTGATTAAGAGACTTTTAATTGTTTAATTATCAATAATCTTAAATTATGTTTTATGTCCGACACTTGAATTTGTAGTCTTTGTGATATATCTAATCTAGTTTTGAATTTGTTTTGGGTGTATGCTGAAAACAAATAAAATAAGACAAATTAGGGTTTACTTCAAAATGAAAACTTAACGTTGTAAATGGTTGTTAGGGAAACATATTTCTTCATTAAGGGTATTAGTTATTTTATTTTTGATTTGAAAAGCGTTATGGGCAATACTAATGGAATATTTTATAATTGCTTGTTCTTTTCATAATTAGTTTAATATATTGTTATTAGAAATATTATGTATTTTTTTTAAGAAATGCTACTATCTTTGGCATTTTACTTACAATAATTTCATAAGAGCAACCGAAAGATTATTATCTGCCGAGAAGATTATGGAATATAGATTGTATTTAAATATAATGTGATGTATTAAAACTCATCCCTAATTATAAAAGTATTAACTCGCATAACTCCTTTAAATCATCCACGGAGCCCTAGGGTATCGCAGTACACTATTTTGGAACCACTGTAGTAGATAAATCGTGTCTATAAACGTAGATTATCTTACTCACTTTCTCATAAGCCATATTTAAATAATCTTCCCTAAAGCTTAAACAAAATCTAGATTCCTTCCCAATTACTGGTTTACTGTTGATTCATATCTACAATTCGAGATTATCTTGTCTACTTTTCATTAGTTATATTAATTTCTGATAACCGTTTTTCGTTTATATTTACCAACTGGCAACGGAGATGTTACGTTTCCCTTTCTGTTTCAGAGGGTATGGAATCTTTCATCATAGTTAATGGAACTAAAGCCATAGAAATAGAAACCGTTGCTTACGCTGTGCTAACTACACTTGGCATAGGAGGAACTGCTTCGGAAGCCTTACCTTACGTTAGATATCTTACGACAAACTTAAATCCTAATGGTGGCTTCTCTTCAACACAGGCAAGTTCTTTTTCGTGTGCTATTATTAACTGCTTAGATTACTAATTTTTACTAGATTTTAAACTTTATTTCAGCTTTACTCAGGACTTTCTTGCAGGTTTTTTTCGCATGCCATCTTTCAGTTTTAGAATTCTTATGAAATTCTGTTATTTTTATTGCAAATTTCATACGGTGGAACTTTTTTAAAGAAGCAGGGTTTTTTTTTTCATCTGCTATTAATAAATTAATAGTGTTATTTATTTTTGAATAAAATTTAATTTTTTTCCGAAGCTAACTGAGTGGATTTTCTTCAACTCAGAAAGTTCTCATTCTTTGAATGCTATTGTTAAGTAGCAGAATATTTTATTTTGATTGATTAATTGATCAAAATTGATTGGATTGGTCTTCTTCAAATAAAGCAAGTCATCTTTACCGTCTTTTAGAGCTAAAGTTTCTAATTTTTTTTAATCATATTTTAGTTAATTTAAAATTAATCGAAATTATTTCGTCAAAAACTCAGGCTAGTGCTTTTTCGTGCGTCATCATTTAAAAATCATCATTTAAAACTAATTATTCTATGGAATTATATTACTTTTAAAAGCAGGAAAAAGCAGCAATAAATTAAAATTATCAGCAAAACATAATTATGATAAGAAAAATCGTTATTATCGTAATCGTTATCGAGAAATTTTACATGTTTCAGAAAACATGAATTTATACGCCCCAAAAAACTAATTAAACCAAACAATTGAAACAAATGTCTCCTCAATTGAGAGAAAATCAAATAATAGCATTTAAATTCTTTCTCATAAAAACAAACTAGGACACCAAAAAGGAGATTTTTTTTTATTTAAAAAATAAAAGGCTTTTTTTTTTGTTTTTCCAGTCTACGATAAAAATACACTTCAGTATTCTCAGACAATTATTCTCATAGCAACTCGGTGTGAATCAAGGGGTCATGGAGGTTAAGGCACCAAAATTTTGTGACATACGGCACGGTTGTGTTTATGTAGACAGCACTAAGTATAAGCAGTCTTTACTTCCAAACAAGGTGGTATCCATGTATCAGAAAGTGGCTAAAGCTGAAAGCCATCACTGAGGATCGAACCCGCACTCCTTCGCAATTACAGTATGCCGAAACATATTTTAAGACTCTGTTTGGATTTAGTAATTTATGCATTTTAAGAAATTAGAATTACGCTTATACTTATAAACTACTAATACCTGTTGAGTTTCGTTTTATTTTATAGGACACGTGCATAGGATTGAAAGCTTTAGCAGAATTCGCCAAAGGGGTGTACAAAGACCCCCTTGATCTTTCTGTGACAGTGAGCGGAGGATTAGTGAAAAATATCAAAATATCGGATGATAACAAACTTTTAGTGCAGAGGTTTAAAGTGGATGACATATCGACCACCATTAATATTAACGCTGAAGGTACAGGATGTGGACTTATTCAGGTAACGTATACATCAATTGCAACACGCATCCCATTACTTTTCAATTCCTTCTGTATCTGATTTAATGCCGGCTCCCTATTATAGTGAGGAAAAACGATGAAGAAGATCAAAAATATTGGAGGATATAAGCACGTCGAAAAATTGAAAGCATGAAGCCTTTGCGAATGTAATCCACAAAGCGAACAATAGTATCGAGAGCGATAGTGTTGAAATTGTATCTAAAAACAAACAAAAAAACATGTAAATATTACGCAATTTTTCCAGTAGTGCCAATTTTTGAAAAACATACTTAATTATTTTTTTTCTCCACTTTAACGTTATCTAGCTTCGTGCGTTTTTTAAAGTTAGTCTAACGGAAAGATACAGTGTATATAAAATTTTTAAAAAATCAGTTCTTACTAGAAGTTCTGCAATAACTGCCCTTAATATATATTGTTAGAATCTCTGTCAACAATTAAAAGACAAATAATAAACATTATGAACTGCAAATTAATATAAAAACCAGAGAGGAAGAAAAGAGCAATTAGAAAGCTGTTTGATTGCTTGATGAATTTTATAATTCCTTGCTGTATCATCGGGCAATTAAACAGGTTTTCATATTTTTTGTCAGACTTCTTCAGTAGTGATTCATTAGATTTTAACAGCGTTGTCTCTACGTCGCTGATTAACAACCCCTAATGGGTACATCTTTTATTCATTTTTGACAATTTAAATGAATATATTAAGGATGATCAATACGGAACATCAGATATATCAGTACATGAATATCAGAAAGCTTTTAATTTTTTCTGTTAAATTTTTTTTCTTCTTTTTTTTACATTTGAAAAACAATTTTATATAATTTTAAATTTAAATTTATTTTTCAGAGTAGATGTAGATACAAAATTTAGAAGTGTGTATGTTTTAATCTTTAGAAGTGTGTATGTTTTAATCTTAAAAGGGAAGATTAGAAAATGATTGGTCTGTTGCCTTTCTTTCCATGTAATTATTTCCATACACTTTAACACGTATTTAATTTTTACTACACTGTTGCTTTTTTCTATCAAACATTGGTTTCAGAAAAAAGCAACAGTGACCATGAATTACCATGAATTTATTTATTTTACTATGAATTTATTTATTTAGTATATATATGTATTTCATATCATAGATATTTTCAATTTTCTTTCCATAGATATTTTAGAGGAAATAAATTAACTTATGCATTATTATTTAGACTGATCTAAGATACAACACCAGAGTTGCGCCCGAGAAGAAAAAGTTCTCATTGGGTGTAATGGGACAATGCTCTGATTCAAAATGTAATACTGCTACCATTGAAGTTCTGACTAGGTAATGAAAACTACATATATATATAATGTGCAAATTTATTCACTAATTTTCCATTGTACAAAAAAACATAATTTTTCTTTAAAAAACTATTCATAGTTAAAGCAATAAATAGTAATGTTTGTTTAAAAAAAATAGTGTACTTCTTAGTTTCGAGTTTCGTCTTAAATCTAAGAAAAGAGTATAGTTTGTCTAAAGTAATAACTCCCCTAGCCATTCGTCTGATCCCGTGGCGGTGACTATGGTAACGATGCATAATTATTTAAGTTAAGGTGTAAGGTCATTGTTTAGGGGAGGTTTTGGCTCGGGTCGACGAGAGATAAGGAATCTTTTTCTTCGGTCTCCTGTGTTAGCCCTAGAGTGAAGAGAAGCTACCTTTTCTAAAATGTGCTAATCTTGTTTCCATAGCAGCAGACGACCTCAGACTTTGTGATGGGGGAGTTCTTACCGTAGACAAACTGTAGGAAACACTGGTAAATATTCGTTGCGTTTTAACGAAGAAACAGAACTTCCAACCTGCTGGTCCACACAGCAATAGAATCTTTATATTAAAGTGATCCGCTTTTTTTTAAATGTTAGGTTGAATTAATAGCTTTATGGCAATTAAATTTTAGGATATCTTTATAATTTATGAAATTGTATAATTTTATTTGCATAATTTTTAAAAATAATAAATTATAAAAAGTACCAGTTTTTGTTTACCAGTACACAATTTCACTTATGAAAATAAAAAAATGCTTTATGAAAATAAAAAAATGCTATTATAAAAATAACGAAATGCTTTTATGTTTAAATATTAAATATATGTTTCATTCAATTAAATTTCCTTTATTCTCATAGTTATTTACCAGAGGGCCAAGTAGCAGGAATGAGCATCGTAGAAGTGAAGCTTGTCACAGGATTTTCACCAGTAAAACAAAGTCTTGAAAATGTAATTCATTTGTCTTTTCCTTTCTCCAGTTCTTGTTCAATAATTTATCCAAACAACAATTTAAAATTTTTTTTAAACAATGACAGCTATAATAATTCGATCTTGGTGATAATTGATATATAATCAAGTCAATAGTAGTTGCTCTGAAGTCTATTCTAACATCTCTATTTTTCTTCTTCTTTTTTTTGAAAATATATTATTACTAGCTGTTGCTCGCGGCTTTGCTCCTACGGAAGTGCCTTGATGTCAATTTAAATTATTTTCAAGAGATGTGAAGCCCATATTGGCGAAGTAATATTTAATTTTAGTATCTACGTATTTAATTTTATAATCTGTTCGACAGTCATTAAATAGCGCATACCACCCTAAGTATGAGTTCAGGACATTTCCTTATTTTAAGCAGTAGAAGTATTAAATTTATATCCTTTTCTGTTGTGAGATAGGATAGAAAACTCCTCCCAATACTCAATTACGCGCTGTACTACTTCCTCGCTCACCTCTCGAGCCACAACTTCAGTATCGTATAATATATGTATGCTATTGTTCAAAAAAGACAAGCTCCGTCACCAACAATTGGGTACTATCACTTCAAGAAGAAAAAGATCACAAATACCCACACATGTGATCTATGACGACAGCGGCATCTGATCGTTTATAAGCAAAATGACACGTTTCTTCACATAAGTTAGAATGTTAGTTAAAGAGAAGTTAATTGAATACAGCGCTGTATCGCCTTTCGATTTTGTTGAAATATAATTCTTTCTCATCTACTTCTTTTACTAAACTTAGATTTATTGTTTCTTTAAGTATTTTATTGTAACCGTGATATATTTCTGCTTTGTGTATTTGGCAACTTCGATGATTTGCTAGTTTGTTTGTACTCTACATGGCTTGGTGCCTGTCTTTGTCTTAAGTAAGCAAACTGCATAATTATTAAAACTGCACTAATACCACGCAGTTTTAATGCCGATACTGCAGAAATAAGTGTCTTACGGACTCGTAAGGGATATGTACCTGTTGAATACACTTAATCTCTATAAATATAGTGAAAAAATTGAAATATTAGTGAAGGAATCTTTGTGAAAGAATATAGAATGTGTCACTTAAGAGAATTGATATGTGACGAACCTGGCGAACTCGAAATAGAACGGAAAAAACAGTTTCTAACATAAATAAATGCCACGTTTCAACAACCAATCAGGATCGAGACACTCACACTACGTCACTTGTAGGTATCCCATTGATATGACAGTGATATCATAGCCTCTTTTATGTTTAACTTTTCTACAGATACTTTAGAAAGTATCAATAAAAAATCTAAATATTTACCCTGTAACCAAGTTTTAATTTCAATAAAAATACAAAAGTACTCTAAATAAATACTCAGCGTATAACTAATTATTTAACACTACATAAATTATTATTTAAGATAACCTAACAAAATGAATACTTAACATACAGCTAACTATTTAACACTACTTAATTTATTTCTTAAATCAACCAAACAAAATTAACTATTGTAGAAGACAATAGTGCTGCCATTTTAGATAGAGAAATACCCGCGTTTTTGGTGCCACATAAGAGAAATAAACATGTAGATTACGCTTTTAGCTAAGCTCGATCTATAATTGGCGGACATTTAATCATTTCTTTGAATTTTTAAAGCAGGTAGGGGTTTTCCGTTGGAAGAAATTTAATCTGTTTCAAGGGGGAAAGAGATTCGTTTTTTTTCACTCGATGATGTCTGCTTGTCCCGTAATATCAAAGAAAATGAATTTAACAGATCACCATACTATGCATGAATTTAACCATACTTTTTTTCTAAGTGCATTATTGAAAACCTTTCTTTTTATTCTAAATCTCGAAGTAAAATGTATTGAAAAAGTTTCTCACACTATCTTTCTAAATGAGCAACAATTGCATACTATGATAAATGTCATAATATGCAATTGCTACTCATTGCATATGCAATTGATACTCATTTAATAGGAGCGAAATATCAATATATGCAATCAANCTGGAATGTCAATTTATCCGAGGGTACTGCGTTTTTTAAATGAATCAAATATGACGTTTCCAGTTTCCACAATCAAGCTAATGATTTACAGAGGTTTCTGCACAAAAATCTGAAAGGGGTTTTCCATTTAGGTAGATGTTCATAATTGCGTTTAACGCTTCTTGTTTAAGACCAGTACGTAATGTTTTGTTTTCTTCTTTTTTTTTTGTAAGTTCATTGCTGAAAATTCCCTTTTAACCGCTGCAGTACGGGAGACAGAGAAAACATCAATTCCACCATGTTGCTGTTTTTCTAGATTAGAGGGTCCTTTTAGAAGTGAGGAGCTAGACTCTTGTAAGATAACAAAAATTTAAAATGTAACGCCAACATTAACGTGAAAAGGGCCGTCCGCGCGGACGTCGGATTCGAGAAATTCGTTGTCCGCGGGGAATTTTTGACCGCCGAGGACGGTCGGACGGGTGGTTTTTCGAGCCCTGAATTTAACCATACTTTTTTTCTTAGTGCATAATTGAAAACCTTTCTTTTTATTCTAAAGCTCGAAGTAAAATGTATTGAAAAAGTTTCTCACACTATCTTACATCTTATCTAAATGAGTAAAAATTGCCTTTATGAGAAATATCATAATATGCAATTGTTACTCATTGCATATGCAATATCATAATATGCAATTGATACTCATTTAATAAGAGCGAAATATCAATATATGCAATTGATATTTCGCTCCTATTAAGAAAGTGTTTTTTTTCTCACAAAATGAATATTTTCTTCTGTTAGCTACTACTTGATTTTTGAAAAGAATAAAAAATATTTACTTCATGTAAAAACAGTCCTGTTTAAAATATGAAGAATTCGAGTGACGTATAAGACACACTTAGTCACATGGGTTAAGATAAATTATGAATCATGATGATCAAATGTATATTAGCTCTTTGAATATTACATGCATGTATATTATTTCCTAAATACTTAATATTTTACGCACATTAATATTTTCATTCTATTTTATTACAGCTGAAGTCTGATAAAAAGAATAACATATTGCGAGTAGATGTACAGGATAACACAGTCATCATCTACTTTTCTGAAGTAAGCAATAAAAAAAGTCAAACATATTGTTGATATTTATTATGTTTTTATTCAGTAATATTTTAATTGGATAAGTTTAATATTTTTTGCCGATTTCTCTAAGGAATTAGGTAATCGATAACAAACAATTTTGACATTTAAATAACAATTAAATCACTAAAATACGCTCATTGTTAAACCTTTGATCTAACCTTTTTATGTTCAAAAACTATTTACAAAAACTGTGGGTGTAGTACATTATTAGATGCCAAAACTTCGAAATTTCGCAATCATTTTTCTTCCTCGGCTATTTATTTTTACTTTTGTTTAATTTCTTTTTATTAATTATGTTTTGAAATTTTAGCCAACACCTTTTAGAAGAGAGATAGGAAGATTTAGCAGTCTAACGTAACGAACATAAATTGCGCAATTGGGGAAACAAGAAAGATGTCACAGCCCTCGACTACTGAAGTTTTGTATTTCTTGTTGATGGTAACCCAAAGGCCCTCCTTGCTCGTACTATCCGTATTTCAAAATCTAACTTATACATATTTATTTGAAACAATATGACTTCTTTTATTCCAACAACAATATTTATTCTATCACCGTTGAAATTAACTTTAACTGTTTGTCACGTTTGATTATTCTTGGTAAGCATGCAATCATAGAGAGTTTTAGTTTTGGCATTTGAATACGCAATTATGATTGGAATGAGTAATGTATGCAAACAAAGCATACTTCCTTTCGAAAGAAACTGAATTTAAGTTATTAGGGTTTGTTTTATCTTAATTCAAATAAACTACGAGAATGATTTTTGTATATACCATATTTATTTCAAAAATGCTTGTAACGCGTTAAAAAACATATTGAATAGTGATAATCTTTCATTGGTTTTTTAATTATCGGATGTAAAACGAACCCATCCTCGGACAATAATTTAATAATTACCATGCCGGTTTTAGAAAGACACATTTATTGCGCGTGCGACTTAGACGTATTGAGAACTAAACTACAAAACAGATAAAACATAAAATTAACATTTACTAATCACGTGACTTAGTGCTGCCATCTATATTCATTTCGTGAACTATTTCAGACAGAAGCATCTGATTTAAATACAAATTCAATGCTTTACACTACTGTTAAAAAAACTTCGTTTTAAAAAAACAGTTCTTCTGCTGCTCAACTGCATTTGAGCAGCGAAAATAGTTTCAAAAAAGTGGGACCAACTGTTGAAAGCAAATGTTTTTATTTTCTTTCAGAAAGCTGTTAAAAATATGTAACTTTTTTATATCATGTTTTTTATCTGGTATTTTTCTATATTAGATATCAAATAAAGTTGAAAAGATTTCTTTTGATGTTAATCAAGTTGTTGAAGTGAAAAATGCTCAACCTGGTACAGCAAAAGTCTATGATTACTACGCAAACGGTAATTTTTAGTTTAGGTCATGTTTTATTTACGTACTTTTAAAATAATAATTTTTACATACTAACCTTCAGACGTTGAAAATAAGAAGATTTCACACGTTTTCATGAGTTAGATCTCTTTTTTTTTGAAAACCTCTAAATATTGTCAATAGTCTCTTTAAAGGCATAAGTTATGATTATTTCGAGGATTCTTCTTTAGATTTACATACTAAAAATTCAGAATTTTCTATCGTCTTTTGCATTATTTTTTACGCGTGAAAATTATGCAGAAAGATGAGCTAGACAAAATCCATTTTCTAAAATATTAACAAATTTATAGTCTTTCCAAACTAAATTTCTAAAAGAAAAAGAACCTGAAGTGAAAATAATATGAATCAAATAATGTAGTACTTTAAAATAAATTACATCTGAAATAGAATTCGATGAACGGACACCACTAGTTATTTCATTGCTGTTTTGTGAGAAGCCGGGAGAGCTGTATTAAGATCACGGTCGGGGTTTGTCCTGTGTTACCATTAGCAGTCGAGTGTATGCAGGCTGACGTTGTGTGTGATCGAGACTGAGTAGCAACAGCGCGAGGAGGTGAATAATGTCGCAGTCACTAGTAGCAAGTCAACTGTTCAATGTGGACCATCCATCGAAGTAAGCGTGCTCAGATCGAAGTGGGCGTTACTGTCAAGAAAGGCGTGTTCAGATCGAAGTAGGAGTTTCTGATAAGGTAGGCGTGTTCACATCACGTCCGAAGGTCATCAATGTAAGGATAGTAGTTATCAACAATATTAACGTTCATCTATGAAAAGATGTCCCACCATAGAATCGAGTTTTTATGTCTTATATACCTGTGAATTGGAATTGTATTTTTGTAGTGGTAGATACGTTACAGAAGCGTCCCTAGAGCCGTATGATGACATTCCGGAAAGGGTTCCGATGCAATTTTAATCCTGATGATAAACCCTAACTTCCGTAGAAATTAATAGTAACATTTATGTGGCTTCTTGTTATATATAACGTTTGTACACTTGTAAATTTCGACAATAAAAAGACTAAATGTATTATTTAGAAAAACTGTAGTTTGCAGAGAGAAACCTGTTATAGATTTGAAATCAACAACGTGAAAATATGCAAGATTCGCTAATCTCCTGCAACAATCATCAAAAAAGGGTTTTCGCAGAGTAATTAATTAGAAAGTTACCAAGCTTACAAATACAAGTTTATAAGTGCTAGTTTATCAGTAAAAAAAACTACTATTATCTACAGCAATAAACATATATAACTTAAGTTCTTTTTTTTTAATTCTTTAATGTAGATTTAAACAATGAAACTTTAAAGTAATTAAAAATGTAAGAATACCGTTATTTCCTGATTCCACTGATATTTCTTACTTTTATTTATTTTAGAAAATTCTGCTTCGACCAGCTACACAATTACTACTGAAAGCAATGAAGCATAGAAAGAAATTATTAAAAAGATTAACATCTTTAAAGTCATTATATTAAGCTAAATATGATTGTATATTTTAAATTGTAAAAATATATTTTATATGCAATAAAAAAAATTTTATTCAAATATTTATATGTGTCATTGCATTCTCTACAATGCTTACGTCGTAAGCTAATTGAATAATTCGCACTTTGCAAACATCAACCTTAGATTTTCAATGAGGTAGGCTAATTGATATTGACTCCAGTTCAGCCTGATGCTACTTAGGCTTATTGCAGAGAGTTCACAAACTTATAAATTAAGTAGAAATTAAATGAAATCATTCATTGTTCATTATAATTTGCACTAAGTCCGAATATCTTGCCGTAAGTCCCGATACAATGAAGGCTTACTGTAAATAGCTAATTTAAACGCTTATTGTATCAAGCCAAGGGGAGTTTGGTTTTATTAAATTTAAGTAATTTTTTACTCATTTCACAATTTGAATTAATATTTTTAGTTTATTATATTTAATTTTTATTTCTCAAAAAATATTTAACGGCAGATTTGGCATTCTAACTTATACAATTCAACTTGTTGAAAAAATAGTGTGAATAATTTTCCAGCATTTAATTTCAAAATGAAAATATACTTTTAACAATCGTTTTATACTGAATTTAATTTTATGTAAGCGAGTTGTCTGGTTAATGATATCAAAAATATTTATGTTTGCATAATTGTTTTAACAAAAGTGATTTAAAAAATTTAAAATAAGTTTAAAATTACCAATGAGTCTTATGACTTAGATTGAGCTAGATTGAAACTATTTGTACGCATGCGTAACCATTATTCAATTTTTATCTGACAAAACAACTATATTCACGGGAGCGTTAGTAACCATATGATTTGGATACTTGCAACTAATCACATGATGGTGTCTAATCACATGGCTGTGCATGACGTGTTAGCTTTACAGCTTCATGGCTAAGGTTTATTATTTCATTGAATACATTTTCGGATAAGATTTAATTTTATGCCTGAAAGAGACTGTGCCTCGAACCTAATAGACTGACCAACACGCGACGTCATTTGCTTGTATCCAATTGAGGCAGTGACTTGCCCCTCCTAGATTTTCTTAAGTGACGGGTTATATAGCATATTGAATTTTAACATATGATGTAGTTGCCATAGTAAAATACATATTTTAATAAACTTAAAAGAGATTTTGGTGTTGTAAAAAACCGTGCTTTTCTGTTTGTATGTTGTTGTTTTTATGAATAATAATAAAAGTAAATAGCGTTTAAAATGTACACGAATCAGATTTGATATCATTTCAGAAGAAAGTTATTCATATAAAAATTTAAATAAGGTATCAATTTTTTTTTAGATTATTATGAAATTTTAGATTTTTTCCCCATCAATTTAAAATACAAATATTTTTGAAAGTTAAAAAAAAATAATTTTTTGCTACATTTAATAGTTTAAAATAACTTAAAAATCTATATTTCTCTTTACATGAATTAACTTTGATAAGAAAACAGAACTATTAATTTAGCATTGAAGACAGTTCTAGCCATATTTACAAAGAGGTCATCACTTAACTTAGAAATTACGCCTTGCTATTGTCACAATATTGAGATATTAATTTGAGGGTATTAAGAAAGCCAGATAGGTAACAGTTTAGCTTCTGATCTACTTCATCCTTAATTTAAGTAAACTATACAGTGTCGATATTTAAATTACGCCTTCAAAATTTCCAGCGAACACTCTCCCCCCCCCCCCCCCAANTTTCTTTCAGAAAGCTGTTAAAAATATGTAACTTTTTTATATCATGTTTTTTATCTGGTATTTTTCTATATTAGATATCAAATAAAGTTGAAAAGATTTCTTTTGATGTTAATCAAGTTGTTGAAGTGAAAAATGCTCAACCTGGTACAGCAAAAGTCTATGATTACTACGCAAACGGTAATTTTTAGTTTATGTCATGCTTCATTTATATACTTTTAAAATAATGATTTTTACATACTAACCTTCAAACATTGAAAATAAGAATATTTCACGCGTTAGATCTCTTTTTTGAAAACCTCTAAATATTGTCAATAGTCTCTTTAAAGGCATAAGTTATGATTATTTCAAGGCTTCTTTAGATTTACATACTAAAAACTCAGAGTTTTCTAAAGACTTTTGCATTATTTTTTACCCTTGAAAATTATGTAGAAAGATGATCTAGGCAAAATCATTTTTCTAAAGTATGAACAAATGTATAGTCTTTCCAAATTAAATTTCTAAAAGAAAAAAAAACCTGAAGGGAAATAATATGAATCAAATAATGTAGTACTTTAAATAACACTGTGGAACAAATTTGTTGTTGCATTTATTCAAATATTTGATTTTGCTTAGTTAAGAAATAAAGATTTCAAATCTGAAATTAGTTTTGCTGATAAAGCTGCAGATTTTTTAAAAGGACATTTTAGTCTATTTTTTGTAGAAATGAACAAGTTTAGAAACGTTAAATATAACAGAAAGATGCGTAAATTCTGCAAAAAATAAGAGGAATAAAATTCATATCAATGTATGAATATATCAATGTAGAACAGTGTTTCCTAAAGTGAGGTACGCGTACCCCCAGGGGTACGGGAACAGTTTAGCAGGGGTACGCGTTCTTAAGCAAAATATTTTGCAACAAACGAAAGTTTCAAATAATTTTGTTTAAAATCAAATCTAGCCGTGAAAATTTACGATTTCGTATTTTTCCATTGGCCATTTTCTTTTTACAGTTAACAGTTAATAATTAGTCGTGTCAACAGCCAGTTATGGTTTTTAACTTTTGACCAATTTTTTATAGTAAAAAATACATTCATTTCTTTATGAGTGATACACAGCGCTACGAAAAATTTAGGAAGGGTACACAAAAGTCATAAGTTTGGGAAAAGGAATGAAATTCACATTATCAGGAATAAAATTGCATATGAGCCATTGCCCAGAAATGTCATCGCACGAGACTGAGGGCGCCTTCCTATTATAAACTGTTCAGAAGCACACGAAAAATTTTTTTTTAATGGAAGTGTGGGGAGAGTTGTTTTCGACCCTGTCGACCTTCATCTATGAAAAGGTACCCCATCATAGAATCGAGTCAACATGTCTTATATACCAATGAATTGGAATTGTATTTTTGTAGTGGTAGATACACTACAGTATTCTCAAACCAGAATTATATCTGTGATAGAATTCGACGAACGGACACCACTAGTTGATTCATTGTTGCTTTGTGAGAAGAAGTGAGAGCTGTAATTAAGATCACCGAATTTCTGCTAATCGTGAGCTAAGTTCACGGTCGTGGTTTGTCCTGTGTTGCCATTAGCAGTTGAGTGTATGCAGGCCACTTTTGTGTGTGATCGAGTCTGAGTAGCAACAGCTCAAGGAGGTGAATAATGTCGCAGTCACTAGTAGCAAATCAACTGTTTAATGTGGACCATCCATCGAAGTAGGCGTGCTTAGATCGAAGTAGGCGTTACTGTCAAGAAAGGCGTGTTCAGATCGAAGTGGGAGTTTCTGATAAGGTAAGCGTGTTCACATCACGTCCGAAGGTCATCAATGTGGGGATAGTAGTTATCGACAATGTTAACGTTCATCTATGAAAAGGTACCCCAGCATAGAATCGAATTAACTTGTCTTATATACCAGTGAATTGGAATTGTATTTTTGTAGTGGTAGATACACTACAGAAGTGCCCCTAAAGACGTACAATGACATTCCCGGAAAGGGTTCCGACACAATTTTGATCCGGATGATAAGCTCTAGCTTCCCTAGAAATTGATAGTAACATTTATGTAACTTCCTGTTATATATAACGTTTGTACACTTGTAAATTTCGACAATAAATTGACAAAATGTATTACTTAGAAAAACTGTAGCTTACAGAGAGAAACCGGTTATAGATTTGAAATCAACGACGTAAAAATCTGCAAGATTCGTTAATCTCATGCAACAATAAGCAAAAACATTTTTCCCAGAGAAATTTATTAGAAAGTTACCAAGCTTATAAATACAAGTTTATAAGTGCTAGTTTATCTGTATAAATAAACTGTATTATCTACAGCAATAAACATATATAACTTAGATTCCTTTTTTTATTCCTTAATGTAGATTTAAACAATGAAACTATAAAGTAATTAAAAATATGAGAATTCCGTTATTTTTTTATTCTACTGATATTTCTTATTTTTATTTATTTTAGAAAATTCTGCATCGACCAGCTACACAATTACTACTGAAAGCAATGAAGCATAGAAAGAAATTATTAAAAAGATTGACATCTTTAAAGTCATTATATTAAGCTAAATATGACTGTATATTTTAAATTGTAAAAATAAATTTTATATGCAATAAAAAAAATTTTATCCAAATATTTATACGTGTCATTGCATTCTCTGTAATGCTTACGCTGTAAGCTAATTGAATAATCCGCACTTCGCAAACATCAACCTTAGATTTTCAATGCACTAGGCTAATTGGTATATTGGCTCCAGTATTTCTAATCAGCCTTATGTTACTTAGGCTTATTGCAGAGAGTTCACAAACTTATAAATTGATTAGAAATTAAATCAAATCATTCCTTGTTCACTCGAATTTGCAATAAGTTAATATCTTAACGTACTAATATATACCGATATATACCGATATAAGGAAGGTTTATTGTAAAAAGCTTATTTAAACGCTTATTGTATCAAGCCAAGGGGAGTTTGATTTTATTAAATTTAAGTAATTTTTTACTCATTTCACAATTTGAATTAATATTATATTTAATTTTCATTTCTCAGAAAATATTTAACTACAGATTTGACATTTTAACTTGTATAATTCAACTTGTTGAAAAAATAGTGAGAATCATTTTCCAGCATTTAATTTCAAAATGAAAACATTCTTTTAACAATCGTTTTATACTGAATTTAATTTTACGTAAACGAGTTATCTGGTTAATGATATCAGAAACATTTATATTTGCATAGTTGTTTTAACAAGAGTGATTTAAAAAATTAAAAATAAGTTTAAAAAGACCAAAGAGTCTTGTGACCTAGATTGAGCTAGATCGTAACTATTTGTACGCATGCGTAACCATTACTCAATGTTTATCTGACGAGACAACTCAACTATATTCACATTAGTAACTTTAGCGTTAGTAACTTCATGATTTGTATACTTGCAACTAATCACATGATGGTATTCAATCACGTGGCTGTGCATGACGTGTTAGCGTTACAACTTTAAGGCTAAGGTTTCTTATTTGGATGAATAAATTTTCGGGTGAGATTTAATTTTATGCCTGAAATAGACTTCATGCCTGTGCCTCGAACCTAATTGACTGACCAACGCGCTACGTCAAAGTCTGGTTTCTTAGGACAGGACGCCGTCAGCTGGAAATCAGCGCTAACCTCTGATTGGTCCATTTGTGAGTTTGATAGTATACGTCATCGAACGCTCATCTTGAACTACAATTGCCGTCCAACTCAACTGCAGTTGGATTACAACGTAACGTTAACCACAGAAGCAATGGCGGACAACATCCAACAGCACGTTGAAATCAGTCAAGATTTCGATTTTGACATTAAACATAGCTTCTTCATTAAACATAGCACTCTTCATTTAGCTCAGCTATAATGTGTTTTTTCTTGGACAAAGTCATTATTTATTCTCTAAAACACTGGTCGACAATAACAAAATCAATACAAATTCAAAATAAATATTTGTTTACGTTATTAACGCATGCGCAATGAGAGACATGTCTGCGTTGGACCGACTGCTCACGCTGAGCTAACAAAAAAGTATTTTTATGGCGTCAGCTCTACGTCAACTTTCCGCTGACGCCCAGATAAGGCGCTAGTTCTAAGAAACCAGGCCTTTAGCTAACAAACCAGTATTTTGTTGGCGTCAACGGGACGTTGACGTCCAGATAAGGCGCTTGTCCTAAGAAACCAGACCTTCACTTGCAATTGAGGCATAAACTTGTCTAAGTGACGGGTTAGATAACATATTGAATTTTAACATATGCTGTAGTTACCATGGCGACATACATATTTTAATAAACTTAAAAGAGAGTTTGGTGTTGTAAAGAACCGTGCTTTTCTGTTTGTATGTTGCTGTTTTTTGGAATTATATTTAAAGTAAATGCGTTTGAAATGTACACGAATCAGATTCGATATCTTTTCAGAAGAAAGTTATTCATATAAAAAAATTTAAATGAGGTATCAAAAACTTTTTTAGATTATTATTAAGTTTTAGATCTTTTTCCCATCAATTTTAAATACAAATGCAAATATTTTTGAAAGTTAAAAAAAATAATTTTTTCTGCATTTAATAGTTTAAAATAACTTAAAAATCTATATTTCTCTTTACATAAATTAACTTTGATAAGAAAACAGAACTATTAAATTAGCATTGAAGACAGTTCTAACCATATTTACAAAGAGGTCGTCACTTAACATAGAAATTACGCCTTGCTATTGTCGCAATATTGAGATATTAATATGAGGGTATAAAGAAAGCCAGATAGGTAACAGTTTAGCTTCTGATCTACTTCAGCCTTAATTTAAGTAAACTATTCAGTGTCGATATTTAAATTACGCCTTCAAAATTTCCAGCGAACACTCTCTCCCCCTTCCTCCAAATTTTAAGGATCAAAATCCGAATCCAACAAAAAATCAAAGTTTCGTGTCTGAATTTTTACTTAATATCTAAAGTTACTAGCTTCGGTGATATCTTCAAGTGTTGAAAAGTACACATTAATCACGAAGTACTAGAAGTAATTAGTCTTATTTTGCAAAAATTATTATAAATTTATTTCAATTATATAAATTTATTTTAACCAACAGTATACAATAGTTTTAAGAATACCATTTAACATCATATGCATTTACAAAATGAAAGCTTATTAGCTAAGTTTAGCATATTCAGATGAGGCTTCGTATGAATAAAGCACAAATAAATACTCAAAAATCGACGCATTATAGTTTCGATTACATTAACAAGGGCGTTCATCGTGACGAAACACAAAATGACAAAAGAAAGTAGCATGAGAAGTACATTAAAATATTGAATAAAAAAGGTTTAAACATAGACAAGAGGAAGAGGCTTGAGTAAGATAATTAAAGATGAAAGATTTTTTTTTTTAAAAAAAAAGGTCTGAGAGAGATAAGAGGAAACCCCAGGAGCACAAAATGCATAAATTAGATTAAAACAGATTTAAAAACAATTGGATAGAAATAGGATGCCAGAAGCTTCTTCATTTACTAAATTATTAGAATTTTTCAAAACATGGAGCGATTCCCAGAAGTCAAGTCAATAGATGAAGAACATATACATTTTATAAATAAATTAAAATATCCAAAACTAACAAGACATCCAATAAATACGTATACTATAAGTTATAAGACATCTAATTAAGTGTATGTTCAATATCGCTCCTTACGTGATATTTAAAAAAATTTAAAAAAATCTTATCAGGAAATGATTATCCTTTTAGGCTTAACGTAAATGCTTATTTAGGAAAAGTACCATATTAGGTCTCAAGACCTTAAAATTATTTACTTTAGCAACGCATTAGAGAGATTTGACACGTTCGTAGATTATTCCGCACTCGCAGTATTGCGCAGAATAGCTACTACAAATAATCTTGTTTTTTTTACAGAGCTTGTGCAGAACTTAAGTGAGAATAAGTGAGCATACGATTTTAACGTGAAAACTCTAAATCTTTCCATCGAATGAGATAGACAAGCTGTATTTGGAAGTGGTAAGTTGTTTATTACTTTTGATATCGTAAATAACTTTTCTGTTAAAAAAAATTCGTGGTATTCCGCAGCTAAAATGATCTCAAAATTAAAAATTACTGCAAAAGTGATTAAATGAATTAATAAAATAATTAATCACTTTTACTAGATGAAGAAGTCTCAAGTTAACAAAAAAAGTTTATTCTAATCAAAATTGCAGGCTTACAATCTCTACTCTATGTACAAATGCAATCATTAAGGCTTTTGACAGCAATTCCTAATTCTTTTTCGGACACGATTGGAAAAGGCCTTGATAACCACAGGAAGAATTTAAAGAATTTAAACCACAAGAAAAAATGTTAGATACTATGCTTCATTTGGAAAGAATTTTCAGGATATTTTCGTATGAAAATCGTTTCCTTTAAATGGACATTAAGATAAAGACATATAATTTGTTTATGACCTCATTCCATCTAAAAGTACATGTAGTAGATTATTTAATAACATTAACCTCATAAATGGAAAATTGCATGTCTGGGAAGCAGAGGTAAAATTCTCTTTATTTTATTTTATTATAATTCTAATCATGTGCTTAGCATGATTAGAATTATTCATGCTGGTTAAATTATTAGTTTTTGAGGAATTTAATTAGACGATCAAATTAGACTCAAGAAATTTAATTAGACTCAAAATTAGACAACACACATAAGTGATCCTAATATAAGTTTCTTGAGAATTTATTACTATTTGTGTTTTAGGTATTTTTAATACATTTGTAATGTGATGGTTAAGGAGAGTTTTGATATACATTACCCACAGAAGTTTTGAGTACCCAGAAAAAAAACATGCACATATTTCAAAATATATTCATGTTAATATGTGTACATATATAACACATATAAATTATAAAAGTATCATATTCCTTTATATTTTTTTTCCGTTTTCATATATATATATATATATATATATATATATAACTGGAGTAGCAAACAGTTAGACTCTCATTAGTAAATCCATACAATGGCTTAATTTAGAACAGGGGTCTTCAACGCGTGGCACTTCGAATCATGTCATTCCGTTTAAAATAATAGTTTGATAAAAAGATGGAAAAGACAATGGAAGGACATATGTTCCAAATTAAAATTTGCAATTACCTTTGCAAACTCGTGGAAGAGATTTATACAAGACTAGCTTATTAGTCTATTTATTGTTTTATTGAGGGAAATAATAAAACATATAACAAACTAATTTGACCAAACCCTGTAAAAGAGCCGTGGTGGCTCACAGGATGAGCATTCGCTTTCCAATGAGGTGAACCGGGTTCGAATCCCAGTGATAGCTGATTGAGACGAATCCGGCACCTGGCTCACACCGACCACAATACTGACATAAAATGTCCTCAGTGGTAGACGGATCTGGTTAACCGTTGGAGGTTTTCGTGGTTGTCCTCTCCAAGTAACGCAAATACGGGTTAGTTTCATCAAAAAGCACTACATGAAGGCCAATTTCTCATAATACTTGATGCAGGAGTTTCTTTGTCTTCTAGATTGAGTTCGAAAACGAGGCTACGAAGTTGAACATTAGTAGTTGTAAACACGAAATTGGGTCGGTCGGCTATTCAACGATGGGTATAAAATAAAATAAGACACTGTGAAAAGTTCTTTATCAAATTATGATATAAAGTACCGGAACTTTGGGTGCATCATCAGCAAAATCCATTTTACCGTAAAATCCATTTTTACCGTTAAATACTATATCGTAATTCTTACAGTTTATATTTATTTAATTAGAGTGATCCAGTGATTTTATAGTAATTATTACAGTAAAAATTCTGTGTGTCAGAATTTTTTGTTCCTTAAATTGTTTCGGTAAAAATGAATTTTAAGGTAAAACACTTTTACCGTAATTTGTTCTAGAATTTTTTTACAGTGAAGAGCGTAAAATCAATAACGAGAACACATTTGGCAGTTCAGTATTCGTAGGATATGCCAACTACAATTATTGCACATGATATTGCAGCTTTAATTAAGCAGAAATAATGTCAAACTACACATTTACTTTGAAATCATTATCATCTCTTTTATAATGTTTTGACCTCACTGTAAAATGATCAGCATATCACTATCATTATATTTTATCTGTTTCAGAAAATAGAAAATAAATTTAAATTTATAAAATAAATTATAAAATAAAATTATATATAAAAATAAAATTATTAATAAATAAATTTATTCGACTCAAGCTTCAAATTTCAAGCTTCAAATAAGTACGAACGTGTAAGAAATCAAAAAATTTAGTTGCCTGTGCTAAATGATCTACCTAAACCAAACTCAGCGGCGCGACAGGCTATAGAGGGCCAAGGCCTTCGGTGCCAACGATCTACCACCTAATAAAATTCTTTGTGTCTGATTTCATAACTTAAACTATCGTCTGCACTAATTAATTAGCATAGTTGAAGTCAGCCCCTCGAACAATTATAAATGTGTCCTAGAACGTGAAGATCTGAGCATTAGATCAAAGGTTATTTAAGGTGTCCGATTTTTATTTACTATCATCGGCACTAACTAAATAGCATACTTGAAGTCCGTCCCTCGAACCATTATGGAAGTCATGGAAGAAGTCATAGAATATATATAGAAATATAGTCATAGAAGGTGAAAATCTGATCATTAGATAAAAAGTTATTTAGGGTATTCCGCTTTTTTTTTTCCTTTTTTTCGCACTATACAACAATCGCTTTGTTAAGTAATATTCCTATAAAATTAATATTCCTTTACTTTTGATGTAATATAGTTGTTGTTATTTTTGGTGTTCAGTAACACTAAACTTATTTATAACAATAAAGTAGTATATTCATAAGAGTCTGTTAGGTTACGCAATTTGAACATATTTAAAGAACATATTTAAAGTATGAGCATCACACTAATTCTAAAATTAAAATTAGTTTGTAAATTATTTCTTCAGATAGCGATTTAATTCAGTTCCGAGACATTTAGAAATTAAATTATAGTTAAATTTATTGCACATACGTGCATTTTTTAACGGTGAACTTTTGTTTCTTAGCTGCGTGGAATGCAGCAACAAATTCACTCCAAGGCGTACTTAATTGTAAGCAATCCCCTGACAATGTCCAAATTGCGGCAACATTTGTGTTTTAAATGAGCCTAGTTTAAACTTTTTTTTTCATTATGGATGTTTAGATTTAACTACACCTTTTAAATTTTTATATAAAAGCTCCATTTAAGTTGAACTTCTTAAGTTGAGTGTTCTTTTACTCTATTTTTTGTGTTAATGAACCCAAATTCGCAGGTAGCTTTTTTTCTATATCATATAAAAGCTTTATTTTTCCAAGTAACATTAGGTACTCTCCTTATTAGATGTCCATGTTACGGAGAATGACGGAAATCTGGAGAATGTCGACTCTCATCGGTGAATGTCAACAATCACATAATCTCTTTGGTGAATGTCCGAAATATTTGTTATATCCAATTTTATATTAATTTATTCGCTAATATTATTGTATTTACTTGATATATTTATATTTATTCTGTATTTTAATACTTACTGACGATAGATTAGAAGAAACATCAGTGTGGGGGATACCGGGTAAATGTATACCGGGCAGTGGCACTTAACCTTAAAAAAACATCAGTGTTGGGTACACCGGGTAAATGTATACCGGGCAGTGGCACTTAACCTTAAAACATCAGTGTAGGGTGTACCGAGCAAATGTATACCGGTCAAATGTAAATGTAAGGCCCGATACTCCAAACACTGATGTTTCTTCTGATCTATCGTCAGTAAGTATTAAAATATCGAATAAATGTAATTATATTCAGGAATAAATTCATATCAAATCGAATGTAATAAATATTTCGGACATTCACCAAAGCGACTATGCGATTGTCAACATTCACCGGTGAAAGTCAACAACGATTTCGGTCATTCACCGTGACATCCATATTTCACTAACTGCATTATGTATTATGTAATATAATGTGTTACTTGAATATTGTATTAATGATTACGTGATTTTCTTCAAAACAGGTCTGAAATATCACCACTGCCAATGCAATGTGGTATTTAATCAATGGCTGGGTGTTTTCTTTTCTTTTTCTCAATTGTCTAACCCAAGACACTGACCCCAAAAAGTAAGTTGTACATTTACTGTTTCATTAGATCAAGAAAATATTCGTATCTTCGATTGTATAAAGTCAGTTTTATTTTCTAAGTAGAAAATTATCAATTATTCATAGCTTGCAACATGCTTGATCGATGAGGAAAATTTTTATTTAGGTAACAATATTTACCTTTTAGTATAAAGACTTTGTTTACTAAAGTTTTAAAATAAATTGTTTCACCTACCATGATAGATCGAAAGTTCAAATACAAGTATTTAAAATATTTTAGTTAAGCATCATATTTATAAGAATTAGTAAACTGTATCACTTCTTAGAAATATTTTTCTAGTCTAATTATTAATTTACTTTCACTAGTGTTAATCTATTCCCAAGTTATATATATTCCATACTTCCTATACTTCCAAACTCTATACTATTAATCTAATGTATATTCTGCGTTATAAACCATGCTATAACGATGCTATAAACCATGCGTTGTAAAACAATATGAAATAGTACTGAACGCCGGATGTAAAGCATCGGCTTCGATAAAGATAATTTTGTGAGAATTTTTTTGATAATTCGGTGAGAATTCACCCGATTAGACATATGATGCTCACTACGTGCTCTTGCGCGCTGAAGCCTATCAATTAAAACATATTAGCATTTTATATAATATAGATTAGCCATATGATGCTCACTACGTGCTCTTGCGCGCCGAAGCGTATCAATTAAAAATGAAAACTGTTGCCAACGCGAGAAAATAAATATCATCGGTTTTATTGATACATACGTATTAGCGCTTTATATAATATAGAT